CACCTGCTGGTTCCCTGGTTTGTTCCTTCCCCTCCTCTGCAGAGCCCCAGAAAACATGTGAGTCACACACCTCCCACATCTCCCACTCGTGGGTACACTCCATTCTCATGGCATGATTTAAGAGGCCTGGAGCTAGGACCCGTCTTTGGTGGCCCTTTATTTTGTTTGGCCAATTCCAGTCATGGTAAACAATTTCCCTTGTGTGTTCTTTGGTTTCCACTGCTCCAACCACTGCCTCTGCAGCCTCCAACATCTCCCATGTGAGTGATGCTACAGCCCCAGCTTGTCCCTTCTCCCAAGGGTCCTAAACGCCAACATAACCTATACAAACAGAAATATGCCATTCCCCCGCTTAACCCCCAGTGCCCCACTGATCTGCCTCCATGCCCATCCTGCCACCTGCAGCTGCCATGACTATCCCCCTCCTCACATCCACTCATCCTCACAACCCCTTCCCACCTGACTTCCAGCTCCCATGTTCCATGACCCCACTTTCTCTTTGCTGATGCTTAAAAAAAAAAAACCAGAAGATGGCATACTTTATGTTTTGGAATAATTTTGGATCCACAGAAAAGTAATAAAGATAGTACACAGAATCCCTGCCAACCCCTCACCTAGTTTCCCATAACAAGGTGTATCTGCCAAAACTAGGAAACCAACATTGGTTGTTGGTGTTTTTCCAACCTATTTTTAACGAAGAAAGCCTGAAGCTAAGCTGGTGACCATAGTCACTCCCACTGCTGTGAAGAGGGATGGCTGGCCAGAGTGTGCCCTCTGGATCTCTCCAAGCTGAGAGAGGCATAATAAAGTGACTTCCTGGACACCCTTAGTTGGCCTTTGGTGACCTCAAGGGAGCCCAGGGTCCCAACCTCTGTCCAATACACTTAACGCCCACAGCCTTCACCCTGGTAGAGACCATGACTTCACACTCTGATCCCAGAAGGGGCTGTGATGGAGGTCAGTGGGAGAAAAAGAAGAAATACCATCTATCATATCAGTCTTGCCTCAAAGTTCAACTCACCTGCCAAGAAGAAAGCATTTTCTACTGAAAATGAAGCTAGGTAAAAGGCATCAGAAATCGTACATTGTGTGTTTCCCTCCAAGAAACAATTTATCAGTGCTATAGAGCTGTCAGCTGCTGACATGATAAGGAATAACACCAAATGAATAATGTTTCCTCCAAAAGCAACTCCTTTAATTACAAGCCTCTTCTTTCCAGAAGACAGACAAAAGATGCAGAAACACCAATTTCATGCACTTGTGCCTGAATAATGTCTCCATGCTGCTTTTTCCAGATGGCGACCTTCTCACTGGAGGGACTAATGATGTGGGCATATTTAGGGAAAAACCAATAACGGAGTCTTTAACCTTCAACAACAAAAAACGTGTTGTACAAAATGTTCCTTGGGATACATTAGAAAATATCAATTACATTGCTCACTGAGGTGTAATCAGCTGTAATAATCAAAATTAATTTTTAAAAATAATTAAACAGACCCCAGGGCAAATAGTTATGCTCTTATCCTATGACATCACAGTGTACATATGTACCTGAGAAGTTGTGCCTTCTGTTAGCAACAAAGGCATCTAGCGTGGATGAGTGACGGATGCGGGCTCTATAGGCTTGTGAGTTTCTTCCCACAGAAAGAAGGGAGAGCCCTGGGCAGCTCCCTACATTCTTTAAGAACCTTCTATGTACTGCCAGGCACTGTACCCATCCTAGACTGAGTTACTGGTAGGAGATGCTGCTCAGCAAAGATGCAGTTACTCTTTTTAAATTAAAGCATGGTCCACTTTGTTTCAAAAATGATTTGTCTTTTAAAATTCCACAAGACAGAATAAGCTATAGAAAAGAGAGGCTGGAGGTAAAACGGGGTTCAACCAAGAAGGAAGAAGTGTGTGCAAATACATCTGTGCTTGTACATGTGTTTGCAAAAATTTATCTCACCGGGCATGTGCGGTTACCCAAGTTGGGCCAGTTATCTCTCTGGCTTCCAAGTGCCCAAATGAAAGAGGAAAACATAACAGTATCAGAAGTTCTCCTTTTTATAAGTTGCTGCAGAAAACCACAGTCCTTCCTGGTGCTAACAGCTGAGGGACTCATACCCTGAGGCTGTCTGGCCCCCACTGCCGTCCAGCCACACTGGCGTCTGCTGTCCTAGGACCTCCAACACACTCCTGCCTTGGTGCCTGTGCCCGGTGGACCTCCCTGCCTGACCATTCTTTCCCAGAGTCACAAGGCTCCTATCCTTCCTCATTTCTCTGCTCTCACACCTCCCTCCCAGAGAATACTTCTGGCCACCTCCATCTAAGTGGCCCAGCACCTCTCTCTTCACCCCATCCCACTTACTGCTCCATTTTTCCGTGTTGCAATTAGCACCCCAACATTACAAACTTCTTTATCTGTTTATTGTCTATCTTCACCTCCTAGAATGCAGTCTCCTTGTAAGCAGAAAATATGCTGGTTTTTCCTTCTGTAACCTCAGTACTTAGAGCAGAGGACTGAATAAGCACTCAATAAAAATTTGTGGAGTGAATGAATGGATGGATGAGACCTCAACTGCTGTAGAAGACATCTTCAGCAGTTTGCCTTCACCAAAGACAAAGCCAACTTCCAATATTCTTTCTTCCAGATCTCTCAGTGTGAGTCAAGAACAAACTGCTATTATACAAATCATCTGTAAACCGACATGGCTCCAAACATTGCTGTCTACTCAAGCTTCTTTCAGATGTGCTGTTTCTCAACAAACCTCCCTAGGACTCAGAGCTACTAAACTGTGCTAGAGACAGTGACCTGGCAAGAGACAGTATCAATAGTGCAGGGGTTCCCATAAAATACATGTGAACACCCAGCATCCCAGTTGTCACTTCCGAAGCTGCCCAGCCAGACTAACCTGTCCTCCTGGGGACAATGACCAATTAACTTGGTCAAGGAGTTAGAAGCTTCAGGGAAGCGGGGCTGGACCCTTCCTGCTACAAATGACACTGGTCAGGAGCAAGTGCTTAGGCACAAGTAGGGACGTTCCTGCTTCCAAGATTGGGGCAGCTGAACCATGTGTGGGATGGTCTTCACCTTGAGCTATACAGTAAATTGGAATTTTGTAAACTGTTCTATTTCTAAAGCACTTACACATTCCAAGTGCTTCCACATAGTCTAGTGTAAGCAGAGCACAGTTCTGGTTTGAAGTTCAGGAATCAAAGCTCTGAGAGGTTATGAAGTTGTCTAAGTGTGTGCTCAGCAGTGCACAGACTATAAATGATGATCCTATTTCCACTCTGCCACTTCCTGGCTGCAAAGCCCTTGACTCTTTTTTTTTTAGATTTTATCACACATCTATAAAATGAGACTAAAAATAGTTGTGTGATGTAGCTGGCACAGAAACCTCAGTTATTCACTCACTCAGTCAGCCAGTAAGTCTGTAGGCAAATATAATGAGCAGTGTCTTCCACAAGCCAATTCACTGAGGACACAGCCGGACTTCAGCTCTGAACACCGTGGGCCCAGCCAGCCTAGTCAATTTCATTTTCTGTCTTCCTTTCCATCTTGGGCTTTCTCTGCTTGTCCTGAAGTCTATTGTTTCTGAAGCTTGGAAAGAAGAAGCTCCCCTTCCCCAAGAGGTCTGGGCACTTGCAGGCAGCCCCTCATTCTTCTCTTCTCCCGGTATCCAACAATGGCGCCCTCCCCATCATGCATTGACCAGAGTGGACAACAAGACCCGTGGTGACAGCAGGGCCTAGATTCTGAGCACATAGCATATGGAGCCAACCTCACTCTCCAAAGTTATATGGGAAGAGTTCGAATTGTGTAATGTATCTGCCAACCATCTATCCCACTTCCTGGGGAGTCCCTTCTCACAGTTTCCCACAGGTATTTGTCCCACTGTGGAGGTCAGGAGATAAATGACTCAGAGGAGTTAAGTGAATTTCCAAAGGTCTCTTGATCCTAAGGCTATGACTATTGAAGGACTACCTTCTGCCTCTAAAGGTAAGTCAGTGACTCCAGCTTTAGAATATATGACAGATTGTGTTCTCCAAGGAGAGCCTCGGCATTATTTCCAATACGATGTGCTCTTGCAGAAACTTGCCACCTCCCTACCAGGAGGTAGAGTCTTCTGCCTTCCCCATGAATCTGGGAAGAGTTTTGTGCTTGTCTGGACCGAAAATGACTGCTGCAGAGGTGATGTTGCATAGCTTCCAAAGCTGGGTAATGAAAGTCAGTGGGGCCTCCACCTTTCTCTCTCCCTTTTTCCATTTTTCTCTCTCTTCTTCTCTCTCACTATGGAAATGTAAAATTCAGCCACTAGGTAGTAAGGAAGCTTAAGAGGCATGAAGAAGTCATGTGTAGGTGTTCTGGTCAACAGTCTCAGCCAGAGCCAGCAGCAAACCCCAGATGTGTAAGTGAGTTTTCCCATGATCTTACCTAAGGCCATCATGGAGTAGAGACACCCCTAACTCCTACTGTGCTCCAGATTCCTTACCACAGCATGCATGATCACACACACATACACAAAATCATGTCAGTATTATTGAGTTTTAGGTTGGTTTGATATGCAGTTTTTGAGACATGGATTAGAAAACCCCAACGGCTCATCCCCACATGGTCAAGAGAACCTACCACCATGTCTCCCAAAAATGGCACCAGCTCTTCTGTCCCCCTTCGCTGTGCTCACACACCCAGCTCCTGCTGAGCTGTGGGTTAGGGCTCTTGTAGTACACCTGACTCAAAGAAAATGGGCACGAGGATTGGTTTGTTTTAATGCCTTAAGGAACAGCTGCTCTTGGCACTCAAGTGGAGCCCATATTAACTTCCGGCTAAAACTAACCTAAGACCTGACTCCCTTAGATGTAGCCTCTACTGGGAAGCCACATGCATTACCCTTGAATGTTTGGAAGGACACAGAAACAGATTATATCCGGTGACAAGAGAGAGAGAAGACATGACACATGGGTATTTGAAGCAAATGTCTGATGTTCTCTAAGGCAAAGGGGTCTGGGCTCACCTCTGCTTTGCACTCAGGGTCCTTGGTCTGCCGCCCAGGCATCAGCCTCATGGCTGAGGACAAGCTTCCACTCCACGAAGAAACTTTGCCATGGTATCCAACGTTTGAGCGACTGGCCAATGACTTCTTTTCAGATGCTGATGATAGAGAAGCAAAGACATCAGAGCTGAAGTTAAGAGGGAGACACACATGATTTCTATAGCTTGCTTGACTTTCAAAGGGCCATCCAGGGGCACAAGCCCAGTGTGCCTGTCTCCAATAAGGGAAACAATCTAGCCTAAAAGTTTGAATCATTATGAATTTTTTGATGCTGAGAAACTTAAAAACAAGTATGTGAGTCATAACTTGTGAGTAATGACCTCTTTAAAATGAAACTTAAGACATCATTCCTACAATGGCATTGACTAATATGAGAGTAAAAATGTTGAGTCGCTTATAGAATGCAAAAGATGTTAATATCTTTGGGATGAAGACTTTTACTTGGAACTTGAAAAACCTGAGACTCCAGGTCACTGCATGACTTGGCACAAGGTTTCAAACTGGATATGTGAATATCAGCACAGGACCTAAAGCCCTAAATTCCAGAGTCCAAGCTAGAGCTCCAACGTGTGGCCCTTTCCTCTAAGAGATTACTAGAGTCTGCTTGCTTGGTTGACACGTCTGGCCTTCCTTTCATCTGAGATGCAAAGCAGCATTAGTTCTTTGAGCAAAGACTTATGAGGCTTCAGTGATGTAAATTCCACCCACCAAAGGGATGAGAGAGAAGGTGTGGTGTAAAAGGCTCTGGGCCCTGAGTGGAACTCTGGGGGAACCTGGCTCTTTGAGACTCAGAAGTTCTGTTCTCTGAAGCCAAGTAGACAGAGACCTAGGTAATGCTGCCAGGCCTTGAGCATTGTCTCTTCCCAGAGTGGGGTGATCTCCTCAATCTTCACTTCACTCTCTCCAGGTTTCACAGAAAGATCAATCTTGAAGGTATCCTCCAGTTCCTGCCGCCTCTGTGCCACGAGCTGCTGCCAGAGAGTCCGTACGGTCTTCTGGATATTGTGCTGAACTAATGGAGAGAGTACATCGCACAATCAGAGCAGCCTCAGTGCTTCCCGCAGAGAAAGTCAGGAGATGGCATATCATGCTCCTTTCATGTGCACCTTTCTTGGACATCATCTCAGCTTTGCAAGCTCCAGCCAGAAAGCTGTCAGTATGTAGAGCCGTAGGAAAAGGACAATAGCTACCAACATCCTTGTGACCTGGCCTCTCCCCCATCACCACCATCAATCCTTCACATGTCCAGAGCTGGGATACATGATTGATGGGCTCAATGAACCTCTTTCTCCCATCCCCAATTCTGTTAGATACCAAACAGAGAGATACCCTGTGTAAGCTCTAGGTAACAAAATAGCCCCCCCAAAATAGCTCCTTCCAACCTTGACTTTCATGTCAGCCCCTCAGGGGGATGGACACTGAACCTAAGACTGTACCCAGGGGCCCAGGAACCAAGCCAATCCTCTCTGTTCACACTTCCAATTACCTACCCATCCAGTGCCCAGGATTTTCAGGGAGATGGACAAATCTAGCAAGCCAGTTGGAACTGTTCTGCGCCTAACCTTCTACTCTTAACTGTGCCTGTCTTCTGATTTTGTGTCACTTGACTCCCTCTTCAGTACCAGCCTCTATAGTTTGTTTTTCTCACCCCAGGGAAATGGACATTGTTCAGTCCACTCTGCTGGTTAAATCCCAAAATGCAAGTATTCATGCTATAATTAAGACTGCAGCAGCATAAACTCTAAACACACAAGATTTTTGAGCACTGGCTTTGGGCACAGGTCTGACCAGAAAATAAGGGCCCTCGTCCCTTCCACCTGGCATCACAAGACATCACAAGGTAAGTGTCACAGCCAGCCAGCTAAAGTGGTGGAAGAAGGTCTGCTGAGGCATTCTGGATCAAGAGGGAGAAATTTCTCAGATACAGGGATCTGGCTGCCTTTTCCTCCCCAAACTGCCAATCCCTGTAACTTGATTTGATGCTATCAAATCCAAGAATAAAATCCAGTAAGCCAAATATCTTATAAACTAATGAGTTGCTTTATTTCATTCCCATTTTCTAGAGTAGAAAGCTGAGAGACAGCTAGGTAATGGCTTGAACTGAGTTAGACAGCATACCCATTTCCACATCTATGGTCCAAAGGAAAGAGATCAGCTAAGAAGTTAAATCAACTTACAGTGACATTCTCAGGCTTTTGTTAGTATACAAAGTTCTTAGTCTCACCAAGTCTCACAGAACTTTCCCTTTATCCATCCGTACATACGTCCATCCATTCTATTTCTTGTATACAAAGATCATTCCAATTTTATTCTCTACCACGTTACCTTGCTATATTATTACATTGTTCTATGACCTCTTCTGGCCTTAAAGAATCTTCTTCATAGTATTTGCTCCCTTGTCTTAGGGGGAAAAAAAATGAAAAATGCAGCCCTAGCAATTACCACTATCCATCTACTCCTCCACAAACAACAAATAAAATGTACCATCGCTCAAGCTTGGGAATTCTTCCCCTCTTTTTTCTCTTGTTTCTTCATTTGGAGAAAGAAAGACTTGATGATAAGGAGTCATTCTAGGCTTGGGTTCCAATCCAAATCCTTCTGGATAACTAGTAGAGAAGAGATTGTTCATCATGAACAGCAGTTTCTTTGGGATCATTTCACTGTTCTTTGTTACGAATAATTATCCTGCAAACTCAGTACATATCAACATGAAAAAAGAAAAAAAAAACTTGTCTAATCAAGTTAGAGCAAGCATCTATGACAATTTCCATGACAGATATTTTACAGAAGCATTCTGGAAAATAATAATTTAAAAAGCTGTCTTTTTATTTCTATCTTATTAAATTCCATCTATGCTCCCAACAGGCCCCCTCCACCCTCTCTTGGTTTTCCCATTATGAGAAGTGGTCATTTCTTTTTGCAGACTCCTGAAACATTGAAATCTGCCTTTACTTGGCACTAATCTCATTCCTTGTGGAATGGGGCCGGGGCCAGGGCCAGCTTCATGGGCCTATGACTCATGCAATTGTGTGTGGGCCTCACTCAGAAGGGTCCCATCCTTGGGCTCTGCTGTTGCAACCTCAAAATTCTTAGTAATTTTTGAACAAGAACCCTGTATTTATATTCTGCTGAAAACCCACATGTCATATAGCTGGTTCTAAGTAGGGTGCAGCAGTTCACATCTTAGGTTCCCTATGGGCCACGTGCTCCAGAATTCCTGGAAAACTGTTCATGTCCAAGTACCCTCTTCTCTGGGCCCATCACCCAACCAAGCAGAAGAGACAGAACATGTTTGTGGATTGAACCAAAAATGAGAAACAAGGATATGAAAAAATACCAGTGTATGAGAATGCCCATTATTGAAATTTCTAGGATAAAGTCCCTTTGGGTTTTGGAGGTCTCTTTCCCACATAGAGGGATTTGAGGAGGGCAGCTCTAACCTTCTAGAACTGAGCAGCAGAAGACAGTGCATGAGGCACATGAGGAAGCTGGCGTTGGAATTATAGGTGGCAAACACAATGTCCCAGTGTTCCTGAAGAAAGCCCAGGATGCTGAGGAGGCTGAGGCATTCGGAGAGGGACTGGTGGGGCTTGGAGAGGCTATAAAGAATAACTTTATTTAAACTGCTGTACAGAGCACTGATGACAGTGTCCTTCTGAGAAGAGGCGTTCTCGATGACCTGTGTCATAAAATAAACACACATACACACACATACTTGGGAACACCTTGAGGTTTAGATACCAACCCAGTTAATCAGGAAAATGATACAATCTCAGATTCTTTTCTGTATTTCAAAACGTGACATTTCTAAAATCAAAAAAGGACTACTTCCTCTACCTTGGATCTTCTATTTAAGTGGATGACCAATAAAGGGAATTCAAACATTTAAGTTTACCAAAACTGGTATAAAAAATTAAAAGTTTACCACAGTCAAATTATGTAAAGCAGACATGGGGACCAGAGATTTCCGTGTTACTAATGTAACACAGTTGACATTCCATATACAAGAACTACTAATAGCATCTAGTGTTAAAAACATGTTATTAACTATTTTTTTGTTATTAACTATTAATACTTGTTGTCAGGCATAGATTGTTATGCTATTCCAGTTACCATGCTAATAATTTTTGCATTTGTTTAAATATGTCTACATATATTGCTTCATTTAAACATCATAACAACATCATGAAGTAGACACTAAGATTATCACACTTTAGGGATTAAAAAGGCTGAGAGTTTGAGGGATGGGAGAGATAGGTGGTCAGCAAGAGTAAAACCTATACCAAACACTTGAGTCATCCTCTTAACCACTGTATCTTCTAAAGGAGATATGCACTCAAATATCCATGGACTTCAGTATGTGAGAGATTTTAGAGGGTTAAGGCAGAAGGTCCTGATTTCTGGTCTGAACATTGAAGCCATCCATCTGCTTGACTTCGTTGAAAAGAATCCATAGAACAAATGCTGTGTGCAAAACTTTCCAGTAGATTAGAAGGGTCATTTGTTACTTTTAGATTGCTCTCTTCAAATTTCATAGGTAATGCAAGTTTTATACTAATTAAGTGTTATTTAAATCTGCTGGATTTGGGGCTCATGTTTTTATCATCATCCTCTCATCCTCTACATCATCCTCTCCTCCTTTGAAATATGGGTCACATCTTTCAAACTGAGGTTAAGAGCTGTGAGAGTCACAGGTGGTGAGCAGGAGAGAAGGGTGGTAGATGTGGGTAGTGAGAGTCCTGGGGCCTGGCACCCTGCTGAACACATATCAGCCCCAGGAGGCAGCAACTCTTTGCTATTAGCTCTGAGTATTTGCTTTGATCACTAGGGAGCTGCTATGGATTAAATGTTAGTATCACCCCCAAATTCATATGTTGAAACTCTAGTATTGTAATGTGATGTATTCAGAGATGGAATGTGATGTATTTAGAGATGGGATCTCTTGATCTGAGGATGGAGCCCTCAGGGTGGGATTAATGCCCTTATAGGAAGAAATAGGTGAGCTTGCATGCTCGCTCTCTCTCTAGCATGTTGAGGGTACAATGAGACCATCTCTAAAACCAGAAAAAGAGCCCTCAGAGGACACCAGATCAGCTGGCACTTTGATCTTGGACTTCCCAACCTCTATAACTCTGAGAAATAAACGTTTGCTGCTAAGTTCCCCGTCTAAGGCATTCTGTAATAGGAACCCAGACTCACTAAGAGAGGAACTTGGTGGCTACTCTCATTCTCGACACAGCCTCCCAATAATCTGATTTTAATCCCCTTGGAGCTGACAAGGGATATTTCTGCCTTCTTGGAGCTATTTTTGAAGAAGCCTCTGAATATCTTCTTTTCAGGTTGCCTAGAACTGAGCATCAGCCAGACTGAATACCACTCGAGGAACTGTGCCGAGGCCCTGTCCTGGAGTATGCAGGTGCCTCCACAGACAGAAGGTGCTGGGGGCGCAGTCACTGTCTCTACAAGGTGTGAAGAGGAAGGAGAGGGGCTTCCCTGGATCCTGCTGCAGGGAACACACCGGGAGCTGTGGGCACAAGCTTCTGGAGGCAGATCTCAGCTTGTAAGAGAAAGTGTTTTCCAACCATCACAGGTGTCCTGCTGCCTTGAACCCCCTCATACCACAGAGAGCTCCTCACAAAAAAGTGAACAGCCACTTGTCAGGAAAGGTTTCCAGAATGAAATGGGAAGCAGCAAGGAGCAAGAAAGAGTTCAACTCTGGCATTCTGAGATTTTATGAATCTGTGTGTATGCATGTGTACACACATACAATAAAGAATGTGTACACATGTGCACACACAGAGATTTACATATAAGCATGTATTTGCAGGCATGCATTGACATGTGTGGATATGTATATAGATCTAGAGAGAGAGAGAGCACATGCAAGAAAAATAGGACAAAATAAAAACAGACTTTGGCTTCAATTTCAGGAAGGCCCAAATATGACAAACCAGAAGTGGATCTTATAGAAGAAAATGAAATCGAACTTTTGGCCGTAAAGACCTTTTTGACCATTTGTTGATGAGGAATAACAATAATTAGGCTGAAATCCAATACTTTGGCCACCTGATGTGAAGAGCTAACTAATTGAAAAAGACCCTGAATCTGGGAAAGACTGAAGGTTAAAGGAGAAAGGGGAGACAGGATGAGATGGTTAGATAGCATCATTGTCTCAATGGACATGAATTTGAGCAAACTCTGGGAGATAGTGGAGGACAGAGGAGCCTGGTACACTATAGTCCATGGGGTCACAAAGAGTCAGACATGACTTACCAACTGAACAACAATAACAACAAAGATTAAACTAACATTCACAATACAAAGCCAAAGCGGGCATGCAGAGTCTGGGAGGGGACAGAGCTGAGGTGCGTGTGTGGCAGGCTGTGGTCCCGGTCACTGAGGTGTATCTCAGGTGGTCCAAGGTGGGAACACTGCAGGGTGCTAAGTGTTACCTGGGCAGTAAAGGTCCTCCTCCTTCCTCCCACCCATCTCAGATTCTATTTCCAGGAAGGACAGTAGGTCAGTCTGGACCAAGTGGACAGCAATCAGCATTGTGTCATACAGACACCTCCTCAGCAGGCACCTTACCACCACGGCTAATGTCAGGTTCTTACCACCATGATGTGCTCCGTGATAAAGAGAAGGATGTGTCTGGGGTCTGCTGAGAACATTCCACTGTACAGCTTCTCCACCAGCTTTTGGATGAAGTGGGAGATGTTGGCAAGTGAAGAAGCAGCAGCAGCTTCTGCATTCGGCTGAGGCTCTCTACTGCCTGGAGGGTGGGAGAGGGTGACAGACCAAGGCTGAGAAATCAGCAGTCTGAATTGCCTTCTTTGCACAACAGTCTCCAAGCTCCTCTTGGGAACCAGCCACATCTTAACCTCTGTACATCTCATTGTAATCTGTATAACCGTTGCTTCAAAAACAGGATCTTATACACTGTAGGTACCCAATGAATACATGTTTATTCAGAGAGATATTGAACAATCAGTGATACGAACCAAGTGGGAGGAAGCAAGTGAGGAGCAGCACATCCTTGTGACCATTTGGAAGAAGAATGGATGGGAATTTAAGGCATAGGTAGTGGGAAGGCTGTCATGGTGACTCAAGTCCCTGATGTTATGTGGGGAAGAGGATGAAGCTGTAGGACCAGATCGCCCATCTGTGCTCACCAACACAGCACATGTTGTTCTTAGATATGGATGCAAGCATCTCAGTTAATCCTCATTAACAACCCTCTAAGTTACCCACGACTGTCCCCCACACTCACATGGTCCGGCCTCTGCCTGGAGTAATGCCACCGTCCAGTCATAGAGCCACACTCAAAACTGGGCTACCAAGCTTACACTTTTCATCACTCCACTACCCTACCATACTCAGATAGCTCAGAAAACCAAAAGTAGGGTTTCCGCACTGTGGGGCAAGAGAATCCAGATACCAGTCATGTCAATAAGGATTCCATGGCTCAGGAACCACAGAAAGAACTTTCATACAATCTTGTTGGGAAGTTATAGCTGCCCCAGACCCAAATGTTCTGAATGAAGTTTTTTGAACTTCTTTGGGGCAATGGCAGCATCTTCATCCAAGTTCATTCATTTAAGAATTGTTTACTATGCCCAGGCATAGGGGAGCAAAAGAATGTTCAATTCAGGTGGACATTTTGACTCCCCTCATAAGAAGAAAATTTTATAATGAAGCTAGAGGATAACTGGTGTTAGCTCAGAGGACAAGACTTTCTGTCTCTGATTGAATCAGGAATGGCAGGGGTGACATGGAAAGTAGTAAGAAGGCCATTCCATGGGTCTCCGGGCAGAGTCACTGAGCTCTTATTGCAGACAGGGGGAGGGCAGTTTCCTGTGGTTCCTAAAGCATCCACAGTCCTGCAGCCTAGTCTTCCTCTAGGGTTCTGGGGTCAGCAGTTGGCAGGAGGTGGCTTCTTACTCAGCTGTCAGCAACTTTGTGTCATAAACCAGGAGGAATAAGTCATCTACCCACACTTACCTCTCAGCATCGATGCATGACCTCCACTCATCAAGTGAAATATTTCCATGGTGGAAAGCAAGATCTCAGACTGAAAGTCCCGCTTCTGTTGACTGGTGGCATTGTCTGGAGAAGCCTGGAAGCAAACCCTGAACTAGACACCAGCCACACGGCCCTCATTTCCACTCAGTGCCCATCATGTCCACTCAGTCCCTCTCCTGATCCATATGCTAACACTGCAGCTGCTGGGAGTGTGGACAGCCAACAGCTCACAAGTGCCCCTTCTCTGGGGCATTGCCCTCTGCTGATCAAGTTGCTTCACCCAGGAGGCAATGCCCACTTCCTAGGACAAGTGGTGGTGGGAGGGGGGGCAACAGGTAATGACCACCTTGCATGTACCTCAAGGTGGGGCCAACTCTGGGATGCAGATATAGCACACCTCAGCTCCCCTTAGAACCAAGCTACTTCTGAAGCCAGGTCCTGCCTAGTTTCTCCCTCATCGTCCTCTACATCCCTTCTCAGCTTTCCTGAGAGCACCACCCTCAATAAATCACTTCCAGAAAATCGCTACCTCAGACTCTGTTTCTAGAGACCTGGCTAAGACCTGCCCTCATTCATCTCTTCACCTGTTGCTTGGTGAGCTCCCTCTTCTGGGGACTGTGGTTCCCCGAAGACTCCCTCCCATCAATCACTGCAGTCCCAGGAGATGTTCCTGACCACCAACCAGCTGGCATGGACATGTGGGTGAGCTCTCTCAAGAGACTGGCCCTTGGGGCTTTCTGGGCATACCCCACCCTCTTGGTGCCCACACCCTCCCCGGTCTGTTCCCACGACACAGGCCCGAATGCAGACCTTTCTAACCCACCTCGAGGAGCACCTCCAGGGGCATCCACTGCTTTGGGTTTGGAGCCCCAAGCAAGAACTCCCTCAAGAGTAGCTGCATGAATTCCTTCAGCTGCTTCCGGGTGGGATGTGACTCGGCAGGAGCCTGTAGACCCTCTGCGGTGGTGTCACCTTCAGCCTCAGCCTCGGGACTGCTGGGGTTCTGGGCAGACTCAGTCATGGCCCCCTCAAAGACAAGAGAATACCAGCATAAGTTGCCTGCCCTGCCCCAAAGCACTCACAACTGACATGTACATGGTGGGATTCTCATCAAACCATTAACACGTAAGGAAACTGAGGCTCCGAGAAGGTAGGCAGGCTCAGAGGTGGCCTGCTGTGACTTCTGAACCTTGGGTGGGCAGAAGCTGGGCACAGAGCTAGAGAAACTAGTAGCACTCAGCAAGGAAGCCCAGGATGTGTCCCAGGCAAGGCATTTCCCTCCTTGGTGCCATAGCTCCCCATCAGCCAACTGGTAATGATGGAAAGGAACACACAAAGAGTGTGAGGATGAGATGAGAAATCCTGCATACAGCATGCCTGGCCCTGGTATATGGTCAAGATAGCTGGTTCCCACCTTTCTGTGGGGTCCTCATCTTTACTGCCTGCCAGGCTCTGATGTTGTTGACCCTCAAGTGGAAAGAGAAGTGGGACTAGAGCCAGTCCTGACATCTAAGACCCTGAAGTGCCTTGGTCTTCACTTTCTCAGTTTTACATTACAAAAATATTGGGAGATAAATGTGATGGGAGTCATTAGCCTAGATACGTCTGGGAAGACATGGAGATGCTGGGAGGCCAGATGACATACCCAAGGACACGCGGCCAGGGACTCCTGACTCCTGGCCCATGAACTTTTCATGCAAGTTCATCTGCTGGCACCTCCCTTGGCTCATTCATAAAATTAATGCAGCCATTCTTAATTAAGCTGTAAAATGAATTTAATGGCACCTAGGGAGGTGGTTGACTGTATTAATTAGCTCCATGTGGCCTTGGCTGGATAGATGCCATATAAAATCGTAGCAAATAGAAATCCTTTTGGCCACCTGCCTTCTGCACAGAAAACGGGTCTGTCACATGTTCTATGCAACAAAGGACTTTTGGAGCTGACTTGGAGCTGAAAGGAGGCCAGGAGGTGCTGGGATAAGAGTTCTGGAACCAGGGCCTGTCTCATCCACGGTCAACTGGGAGATGACCTTGGGCCAGGCTCTCCCTCAGGTGGGAACTACTGAGTGTAGCCCTGGGTCAGGGCTCTGTGGCTACTGGCAGGGAGCTGGCTGGAACCCCGACTCAGCAGATGGTGAGCCTGGCCTGTGGGCATAGGGGCTGAGGTGGTGATCTGGACTCAGAATGTCAGACCATCAACTTAAGGTCCTGTCCCCCTCCAGGTGAGGGGAATGGTGAGGGGCTGTCTGTAGAACCCTGCTTCCTCCCTGCCTGGCCGGGGGGGTGCCTAGCTTCTGGGCAGAGGTCCCATCCCCCACCCCCTCCAGTGCTGCCTTTGATCTTTTTTGCATCTTTTTTTTTTTTACTTACTTTTCTAGTATGTTGCTTTAGTTGGTATTAACACATCAAAACATCTTATCTTTTTGCAAATCTTCTGGTCTTATCTTCTGGTCTTTATAATTAGTCTTTTTATTAAAACTAAACACTTAAATTTTATTAGGTCATTTATTGTTATTTTAAACTGACTGATGGAAACGAATAGGTTTTGGGGTGAGAGACTGAGGTGTAAATCTTGGCTTAGTCACCTATGAATCACATAAGCTGCGGCATGTTTCATTTCCTCAACCCTTTCGACCCTTTCGTGAGATGGGTCTCATGGCCCCACTAACCCGGGACGGAGCTAGTCTGTGGAGCTTCACCTCCCTGAATCTCGCCTCCACCTTTAACACCTGCATCGGGCCTGTTAGGGGATGTGAAGCACCAGGCTCAGGAGATGGAGGCTGGCACCATGAATACACTACCAGAAAGGCTTAGCTAAAAGAGCATATTCATCCACTTGGCCATTTAGCAAATAATTATGGAGCAAACATTACTTGCCCTCATTGTGCTTGGGATGACTTCTGGATCCTCTACTTACCAATATGCCTAACGTATTCCTTTGAATACAGTTACTGATTTGCAGACAGGAATCGATAATTCACTCTCCTTGGTTGGGTCTCAGCTCCTATTCCACCAAGGCAGGTAACGAGCAGATTTCTGCCCTTCCTTCTCCAGCACCTCCCTTCACACTGGTCCTCACTTGCTTCTCTCAGCTCCCAGATGCTCCACACTCATGAGTCCCCCTGACCAGCTGGGACTGGCTCTTGCTCTTAAACTCACTCATATCTCTTCCCATAGTGGCCTCTCTACCCCCACACTGACACCTTGTCCTCAAGACGCTGCTGGTCCCTCTGCCCTCCCAGCTGGGCCTCGGCAAGCCCTCTGACTGAAAGGCACCATAGCCTGCAAATAGAACAAGGGTCCTGCAAAGAAGACGGGACCCTGTGGCAGTTCCACCCTTCCCCTAGCCGGGGCACCAGCTGTGGGCTTCCTGGAAAGGAATCTGTGGTTTCCTCATGCTCCATGTGTGGGTATTCTGTGTTGATCTGGACTTAATCTACCATCAAATTTCTCATCACTGAGATTCCTGACAACTCAAAAACTTATTGAATCACAGAACCGAAAATGACCTGAAGCTGTACCTCATAAAGAGAAGGAAAACTACCGGAGTTGTTTACTTAAGGTTTTGGCTAGGTTGACTTAAAATGTATTTTCATTTGGGGAGGGGTGTGAAGGCATTTTGTCCTTGAAGGGTGATGATGCTCACCCCTGCTCTCACCAGGACAAGGAGGAGGTGTGTCTTACCTTCTGGGTTCCCAGGGGGAAGGTGACTGCAGCCAAGGTCTGGAGGAACTCCGGGGCCCGCCAGGCTGGATCCTGGGGGTAGGTGCCGTGCACAAGGCCAAGGAACTGCAACACACTGGCTGGGAATGTCCGTTCCCAGCCACTATCTCCAGAACCTGTCGAGGGCTGAGGACACGCTTCATGAGAGGCAGCACGTGGGGGCGCGACTTGGGGCTGCATAGGAGCCAGAGGACTTGAGATCTAGAGAGACCTCCTTTCTGAGCCTCTCAACAAGACACCTTATTGAAAGACTCCTAGTAATAATATGACCTATTTCTTAAGATTGTCGTGAGAATTAAATGAGACATTTTAGTGCTTCAAGCTTATTTTCACAGTGACTAGTACAGGGTAAATATAGAAGAAGCAGGGAGATAAGGTCAGATCCTTGGTGGCTCAGATGGTAAAGCATCTGCCTGCAATGCAGGAGACCCAGGTTCAATCCTGGGTCAGGAAGATGCCCTGGAGAAGGAAGTGGCAACCCACTCCAGTACTCTTGCCTGGAGAAGTCCATGGACTGAGGAGCCTGGTAGGCTACAGTCCATGGGGCTGCAAAGAGTCGGAGACGACTGAGTGACTTCACATAGAGGATTTGGACTTTTGGAAGAATTTGATCAGGCATCCCCTGAAGATGCTTAGGCAAGTGACCAGGCTGGATCCTGGGGGTAGGTGCCCCAGAATGAAATACTATTGCTGGACACACGTGTTTCCACCATGCTCTCGCCCTGTGATCCTGCCTGAGTGAGTTAACCTCCACAGCATCTATATTTGCACAAGAAAGAAAATGCTGTCTGCTCTCAAAGACAGTTGCACACAGCAGAATGACTAACATCTGCAAGACCAACAATGCTAAACAATGACAAGGACCTGGAGCAACTAGAACCTTCCCAGAATAAGAGTTAGTGAGTGTAAACTGACTATTTTGGAGACTGTTTGGCAATATCTCCTAAAACAAATCATGTGTACAGTTTAACCACAATTTCATGCCGGGTATATTTCTAACAGAAAGAAGTGTGTATGTCCACCAAAAGATATGTACATAGCAGCTTTATTCATAATATTTCCAAATGGAAACAACCCAGAAGGAATAAATGCTGATCCATTATCACAATAAAATACTACTGAACAGTAAAAAAAAATAAATAAATAAAGAACTACGAACATATACAACATAAGCAAATTCCACTCATGTTGAGTGAACTCAGTCGTGTCGGACTCTTTGCAACCCCATGGACTATACAGCCCATGGAATTCTCCAGGCCAGAATACTGGAGTGAGTAGCCATTCCTTTCTCCAGGGGATCTTCCCAACCTAGGGATCGACCCCATATCTCCTGCATTGCAGGCAGATTCTTTACCAGCTGAGCCACAAGGGAAGCCCTGAGTGAAAGAAGCGAGAGGCCAAAGGGTACATATTGTAGGATTCCACTGATACCAAGCTCAAGAAAAGGCAAACAAATCTATGGTTACCACTGTGCAAGGGAATAACAGCAAGCAAAGTAAAGTTATAAGCAAAATAAATAAACTGAGAAAGATATTCACTACAATTTTACTTCTGATCTTCTCTTATCCTTTCAGTTTTTGCCTTTTAGATTTTGATGCTTGTCTACCATATTTGGTAAATGATGCTTTCATGGCAGATAGCTTCACTGAACCAAAGTCTGCCTCTGACTTTGCTTTTGTTATATGTTTGTTAGATCCCAGAAGACTGTTTAAGGGTGACGTCTGTTATACAACAGTTAGCCATTTTATGTTTGCTATTATAAAGTAAATGTTTGGTTTTACTTTTTTACTTATGTCAGCATACTAGGTATTTTCTTCACTTTAAATGCTTTCATGTTATTTTTTTGGTTTGCTTTTTCTAAATAGCATTGATTTTAAAAGTAATAAACTTTCTATGCTTCAAAACAAATTTTTTCAGGCATCCTCAAATTAACTGCACATTAGGTCTACAAGAGAGCCATGAATAAATTTCCCAGAGATGGAAAGTGTAAAGATTGTTTGCTCTGACTAGGACAAAAATAAACTGGAAATAAATAGCAGCAATTAAAAAAAAAGTTTAACTACATGGACATTGAAAAAGATGAATCAAAAAGGTCTCTTTTTTTAATAAAAAAGTTCTTTAAATCTGCAACCACAGAAACACTAGAAAACAACAACAAAAAATGAAGATAACAAATATCAAATATCAAAATTTTAGAACTAGCCAGAAAAAAATGAAGGGGAATGACATATATATCCAAAGTTGTTTTTTATAAATCCACAAATCTTCAGCTCCTTAAGCAATAGGATGGGTGAGGTAAAGAAAGGGCATGAACTTACAAATTAAGAATAAGAAGAGGAAAATAATCACAAAGAAAATTAAATGAATTAAAGGAGACCATTTATGCAAACTGAATACTTGGGAAGATTTTTTAAAAATATCAATTACCTAAACTAGGTCAAGGAGATATTTAAAAGCCTAAGCAAGTTGATAAAATAAAAAAATTCAGGCCGAAGCTGTTTCATGGGAATGATTTAAATAATATAAGAGTCATGGATTTAGCATCTTCTTGAATAAAAGAATCTTTTTTTAATAAAACTAGCATAATACTGATATCAAAACTTGACAACATGTGAAAAAAGAAAACTGAAACCTAATATCACTTATGAACATGACTGCAAAATCATAAATAAAACATTTACAAGCAGAATAAGGAAATATGCTAAAAGAATAAGAACAGAGTGACAAAGTGATATCTTTGCAAGAATGCAAGGAAACCTATTGATATAATTCATCAGAGGTAACTGGTTAAAAGAAAAAAAAATGTAATCATTTAAATACAGGCTAAAAGAGTATTTATTTTTTTATTTTTGTATTTAATCTTAATTGGAGGATAACTGTCTTACAATGTTATGGTGTTAGTTTCTACCATACAGCAACATGAATCAGCCATAAGTGTATATAGATATATGTCCCGTCCCTCTTGAGGCTGTGAGGACGGGGCCAAGCACATCTGTACAAGACTGTGGGATGTATGTCAAGAGGAATATATACATATAATGTCTATTGCAATCTTCCTGAGAAAGAGAACACGTGAAGTGCACCTTGAGCCAGTATTCCACATCCTGGAATTTATACCAAGGGGGTCATCAAACTAGAAAGAAAAGATATCTTCTCAAGAAAGCTCATTACAGACTTTTTATAACAATGAATGTTCTGAGAAATAATACAAATTTCCATCTACAAATATAGATGATTCCCAACAACATGTTGGGGGAAAAAAGGCAAGAGGAAATATGTGGCTCCCCTGGTGGCTCAGACAGTGAAGAATCTGCCTGTGATGTGGGAGACCTGGGTTCAATCCCCGGATTGGGAAGATCCCCTGGAGAAGGGAATGGCTATCCACTCCAGTGTTCTGGCCTAGAGAATTCCATGGACAGAGGAGCCTGGCAGGTTACAGTCTGTGGAGTCACAAAGAGTCAGACATGACTGGGTGACCAACACTTTCAGGAATTTATGTGGTCTGATTCCCTAAGGACATGGTATACTCTTAGGTGTCTGAAAGATATTCTACTAATGTTCACAGTGGTTATCTCTGGTTGGGTGTGCTTCAGGTGATTTTTACTTTCTACTTTTTTTTCCCTTATTTTAAAGGTAATCATGCATCATATTACAGAAGCAGTTAGGTTTCCACACATATCAAACCTCCAGTTGCCTTTAGAGTCTATAGAATGAAGCCAGAATTTTTCATGGGTGTTCTTGTTACCTGGTCCACAATTAGTTCTGCTCACAAGCCACATGGCCTTTGCCTTCAGTTCTAAAATAACCTCTCCACCCACCTTCAAGGTGGACCTGGAAGGCCTGAATCAAAGGCTCTCCATGTCATGTCTGCAGCTGGCAGGCATCTGTCTTCTCTGACAGGTCTCTGTCTGGTGGGTCCCTCATGAGAGGCCCACCTGTCCTGATAGAGGTGAGCTTCTTGAGGGAAGAGGCCCCTGAAGGGAAGGGACCACAGGGCCCTTGAAACTCTCAACTCAAAGCAGTTGCCCAGAAATGTTCCCTTTGACTGGAGGCCTAAAATCTCCCAGTGAAGAAAGTCAAATGTTTAAACAAATGGAAAACAGGTGTCTTCTGGTAAGAACACATAAACTCCACTGGGGACATTAAGGCTGGGTTTCCCATTGAGCACCTAAGTTATCACCTTGCCTCTTCTATCAAAAGTTCTGAATAATACCTGCAAATTATCAGCACTACCAGAAAGTTGCTGGGAAAAGTCAAGGCTGACTTTTCTGAGCCTGTCTTCCCATCAGAACCCCTCTCAGCATGTGGGGAATGGGTCTCACCTGGTTCATGGTGGCTTTCAGCATCTCTAGGAGCAGCAGGGCGCCTTCAGGGCACAGCCCTGCCCGGAGGACTTCTTCCCTGTGGTGCTTATGCAAGAGCCACTGAAGCATGGCATCCAGGCTGTCCTGAAAGAGGAGGCAAGTGCTGTCAGAGACCTGTGGGTACCACCAAAGAGACTGGCTTTCCATCCAGTATGCCATGTTTCTCTGGGGACCCCAGTGAGAAAGACAAAACAGCACAGATGGCTGGTCCACTAGAGGAATTTCAGCCCACTGATGGAGCATAAGGGAAACATACATGTCTAAAATAGGCTGCAGACCCACCAGCAACTGGCATTGGGTCTGACATCAGAAATACTCAATCTCTCAATCAACTTTAATGAATTTTTGTAAATGAGATTGCAGAAAACATGTCAAATTCAAAGGCTTCGGGGCAAGTGCAATCAGGAAAGAGAGCATGGGGTTGACAAGCAGGATGATCTGACTTTGCTTCTTTAAAAGCTGGGCTTATGCAAGCTATTTAGCCTCTTGGCAGTTCAGTCTCCTTCTCTGTGAAATGAAACTTACATTATCTGCCCCATGGGATTGTTATAAATATCAAGTGAAATAAAATATGTAAAACATCTGTCACGGGTCCTGACATTCAGCAAATGTTTGTTTCCTGAGCCACAGTATGGAAAAAAAATACAAGTTTTCGATGAATTTATCAGAGTATGTTAAGAACTTGATTTTGAAGTGTGATCTGTAATACTATTAACATATATCAAGATTGAGATAGGTCAAATATAAGGATATGCAAGAAGTGAAATTTTCAGTCCTCAGCAAAGCTGTGCCCCTCCAATGATGTCAATACAGTGCAGTTTAACTCAAGTCTATCAAGACCAAGAAACAATTTCTGAGTCTGTTTATCAGGTGCTCAGGAGGGTGAGCAAGAGGCAGGGTTTGTTCTTGATGTGCTCAGCATCTATGGAGAGAAGCAGCCATAAACGTGCTGGTGCTTATACAAGGCGAAGGTGTGATGAGGCCTGAGAGAGAAGGGTTCCCACTGTCTAGGGGGTATCAGCTCGAGGTCTCATCTGAGTGGAGAACTAAGGAAAGATAGCTTTCCAGGAAGGTGCGATGGGAGAAGGCTCCTTAAAGGCCCAGGGCAGGCAAGCGCAAAGCAGGTGGTGTTACTGGGGAGGTGACTCAGGAGGATCACAGAACAAAGGGCCAATAAAGAAAGGAAGATGGGCTGGGAGACAAGTGAAATCCCAATCAGGGAGGGGCTTGATGCTGCCTGGGGACTCAGAACCTGATCCCACAGGAACAGGAGCCAACGAAACCTCGGATTTGGTGCAAGTCAGTGAGCTAGTGAGTGAGAAGCTAGTGAGAAGGTATCCACAGTGAGTGGAGACTCCTCTTTGGAGGAGGAACAGGAGAGCAATACACAGGACAGCAGTTGGTCAAAAGTGTGAGCCAAGGGGGCAACTTCTGGTTTTAGATGGGACATAATTTATCATACTTACAGTCAATGAGGAAAGAATCAGTAGAAAAGGAGATGCTGAAAATACAGAGAAAGGATAATAAGGCATGCAGTCACTTGGGAATGGAGTGGAAGGAACACAGGTCAGCCTTAAAAAGGTGACTTTGCCAGTGACAGTGAGAGAAGGTGATACAGACGGTCTTGGAACACACAAGTGATGGAAGGCGGAGTCCTGAGGCAATGCCCCTTCATGGGGGCTTCCATTCTACCGTTATTTAAGTCATCTGAGCAAAGGGTAGCTGTGGGCCAGAAGACTCAGGGCATGTAAGGTTCACACTAGAATGCAGGGGCATTGCTAAGGTACAGGGACATGTTTCTTTGAAGGTGATAAAATGAGGCTCTATGCCTGCGGTGGCAGCAATTCAACCTCCCCATGTTGCCCCCACCATCATGTGATTTGTCTACCCAGAAGGAGAAAAACTTAAAAGTGGAACTGATAAAAAACAGAGATCTGCTGGGAGGGACAAGGGAGGCAGAGGCTGAGGAAGTCAAGGACATTTGAAGAGCAAGCAAGGAGGTGGGACTGCTAGGGAGGGAAGTGGGTCAGGATGAAAGTTGGAAGACATGGAGGAAGGTGAAGAGAGTCTTGGGGGATACAGAAATCAGAAACCCAAGTGTTGTCACTCCATCCTGAGAGCCCCTGGAGCCTACCTTGGGCCCATCCACCAGCTCTGTAAGTGGTGTCTGTAGGAAGAAGGTGGACACGATGAGGTAGACTTCTGGAATATGAACATGGTAGGCCAAAAAGTCACTCAAGACCCGGAACCCAGGAAGCAGGCAGGGGCTTTGGTCAGGCGTTGCAGGATGGCTCTTCAGGTTATCTATCGATCAGGGAGAAGCGCACAAAATCCAGCTGAGAACAATTGCTTCTGGTCAACATGGGGATTGGGCACAGGAAGGGATTCTCTCCCACCAACCCATCCTACAGACCTGCCAGACGGAAATACGTCATACATATAGAGCACAAGAATGTGCTCAATAAGAATTTCTTTTCCTATTTCTGATGTGCTCATTCATTCATTCAAACACATATGCTTAATTGGTGCCTACCACCTTAGAGGTGGCAAGACCTCTTTGCATAGGCAATAAGAATGTAGTGTTCTGATAAAATATACAGAACCCTGGGCCTTCATCAACTACTTACAATGTGGTGGGAGGAACAGACATTACAGAATTAAGTACCTAAATAAAAATATGCTTGTAAACTATGATAAACCCTCCCCCCAAAAAAAGAAAGAAAGAAAGTATAACAGAGGTGCCCTAATTGACATGGGACCCTCCTCTCCTGGAGGAAGTGACATAAAATTGAGACCCAGCCCAGAGAGCTGTGCTGGTGTTGAGGGTTGGGGAAGCACCTCTGCAAGAAGGAAAGAGTTAAGGAGACTTTGAGGAGTGGAAAGAAGTCCCCAGCGTCTAAAGAGCAGTGAGGCCACGTGGGGAGGAGTCTGAAAAAGGAAGTTAGAGGTAGGGGAAGGGGTCAAGGCCAAGGTGACGCTATAGCAGGCAATGTGAAGGCCCCTTAGTCCTGACAGGGCCTCATTCACAGGTGGCACCCTGTCTCCTGGAGATGGCCACACACTCACCCATAATGATGTCCATGCCCTCGGAGCTGCGTTCCACCCAGGAGCCTGCAGGCAGGCCGTCTTTAAATCGCCCTCGGAGGGAAGGGCTTGACAAAAAGTGCAGCAGCAGCTTCAAGCCCAGCACCACTGTGCTGGGGTGCACGTGGCCCTGCACGAAGAGCAGGAACCAGTCGGACCCCAGGTTCAGAAACATCTCTTCCTTTGTCCTGGTGGGGAAGGGGGCCAATAAATGCTATAAATTATCTCTCAGCCCATAAGCAAATGACATGTCCAGAAAATACAAATAACATCCAGCTTCATTAGTCACCTAGAAAAGGCAGGTTAAGGTTAACATCTGGACATCACTCAGCAAAGTATGTATTACATTTTAAAAGATCGGTAATGTTGGCAAGGCTGCTGTGAAAGAGGTGAATTTGCCTACTAATGGCTGAAGCATAAGTGGGCCAAAGCTTTTGAAATATATTGGAAACTGTGTACCAAATGATAAAGCCCTGCTCACTAATATTCATACTTACACAGTGTCTGACTGGCCACCCACTAATTACATCAACGTAGTCACATAAAAGACATCATGGTTACTTAACTCCCTTTTAAAATACACTGTTCAGAATTAATCTTAATGGACTAGTTCACTATTTATGCATCTTTATTGGTTCAGACAAAAAAAATGTTTAACTGTCACTTTCAATAATGAATTTTAAAATGATGTGTCTAGAGAATACAGACTTGCTAGAGGGAACTGGAGGACAGAGAGATGGGAGCTGATGGTCAAGGGCAATTGTTCAGCAAAACCTGAGTCTCCTGAGAGCCAGGAAAGTGTCCATCCTGGCTGGGCAGCATTCTCAGCATCAGTTGCAGATTAGGTGAGATGAGGGCATGGCCACTGAAACCAGGAGTCAAGAAATGGTTCTCTCTTTTAGTCATGACTTCGTTTAGTAATTGGATGACTTTGGTGAACTCTGATCATCTTCCTTCAATGTGACGATGAAGAGGATGATGGAAGTGACTGTGGTGATGAGGATGATGGAGATGATGTTGGTGGTGGTGATGATGATGATGAAGATGATGGTGGTGACAGCGGTGGTGGTGATGGTGATGGTAGTTAGCTGTTGGAGTTTATATAGTATCCCAGGCACCATGCTCAGAGTTATCCATCTATTAATTTCTGTCTATGGCAGCTACTACTTTTATCTTCACAAAGATGAGTAGAAGAGAGACATAGAGGGCTTAGGTCACCTCCCTAAGGTCCCTGAGGGCAGAGCTGGGATTTGAACCCAGGAGGTGAAGTTGTCAGAGCCCAAGTGCTTAAGCATTACATTACCTTCCTTTTCAAAAAGGTGAAAAGGTAGAGACTAGCTCATCTCCCTGGGTCAGGAAGATCCTCCAGAGGAGGGCATGGCAACCCACTCCAGTATTCTTGCCTGGAGAATCCCATGGACAGAGCAGCCTGGCAGGCTGCAGTCCACTGGGTTGCACAGAATCGGACACGAATGAAGCGACTCAGCACGCATGCAGCTCAACTCCAAGGCATCTTCCAGCTCTACTATGCACTGATTCTGGAAATCTAGAGGCTTTTAAAGCACTATGTACAAGGCTGATTTACTGAGGGGTAACTCCCCACCCCGACGCCTCCCAGCCCAAACCACATACACACTAAAATGTCAGCTTAGTGAGAGTAGGATCTGGACTAACTTTTCCAGCATGGCATTCTCGGAAGGAGGAACAGTGTCTGGCACACAGTAGGTACTCAACAAATAGCTATTGAATTAGTGACCCCAGAGCCGAGATAAAGCAGGCAGTCTAAGAGAGTTAATGGAATTTTATGACTGCATGTTGTTTTGAAAGTTAACTGAAGGCAGATACTTCTTTTTCCAACTTGGAAAAATAACTGAATGGCTAACAGTAAATAGCAGAAGAATTTGGCAAGCCTTTTCCTTGATAGATGTTATTTAGGCTAACCATTTCTCCATTCTATTGTCTGCCAAGTATAGGACATCAAAATCAGTAATTATCACAACTGCCAAGACAATAACAATTACACTATAGCAATGGTGACAAGAAGAGTTTATTGTAATGATAGCAAATCTGCTTTGAGTTACTCATGCCATTTAACATTTGCATCAGAATATCTTAGGGCAAGGTCTGCTTTATTGGGTGGAGAGAATATAATTTTCTTTCTGACTAGCGCAGGAAACCAACTCAGAGATGCTAAACTTTTCATTAAGAATAGGTTTTAATACTGTACCCTGTATGAAACAGCCTTGTGGCAAATCACTCTTTCTGGAACTACTTACTCAGAGGACAGATGAAGTTGGGAAGAAGATATTACACCGAGCAGCATCTCCAGCAACTGGTTTCTGAGCCAGATTGTCTTTCCAGATGTTTGGCTTCCAGCTACAAAAAAAGAAGATTCAGATTTGAGAGAAAACGGATGTAAAGAGACATAATATTTGCTGCAGTAGGCAATCATATTCACCAAATGCTCACTTCTCCCAGGAGTTGAGACATGCATGGGACTTGAAATTTTGGCTTTCAATTCTAGATTTCCATGTAATGCTTAAAAAGAATTTCTGGAAATGTTTCTAAAGTTTCCTTTAACTAGAGATGTTTATGATGCTCCCCATAGCCCACCCCCCCAAAAAAAAATCCTAAAAATGATAGGGTCAAATTTTTCTTCCAATAGAAAGAGTTTTAAAATTATCATGGACTGTAACATTTCCTGAGCACCTACTATGTGCTGGGCATTATGCAAGGCAGTGGGAGCAGAGTGGTGAAGATTATGGTACTCAATCTGGGTCCCTGCTCTAGTCTAGGACTTCTGCGTGTCTATGCTGCACTAAAAAATAGAGCTTGAATTGCAGCAAGAGGTATGTGGATCCAATGGGAGAAGAAACTTTACTTCTGAAGTGTTATTATGACCTTGAAGGACAAACAAATACTGTCTTCGTAGATAATTAGCTAGATAAAAGTTTTAGAATGGAGTTCCCATGAGAAGGAGGGTTGACTACATAGTATACTGTTGGCTAATTATCCATTCATTCAGCCCCTTGATTGGCCAGTTATTTTACCACCAATTGAGGGCACACAGCATGCTGTAGAAATAGAACTGATGAGGCAGTTTGGAGAAATGGAGTCAGAGTACCCTCTGTTTGGATTCTGGCCCCTTCTCTCTTTAAGGTCCTAGTCTCTGAGTCTCCATTTTCTCATCTGCAAAATGGGAATAGCAATTCCTACTTTTCAGGCTTGATCTAAGGATAAGAGATAATTTATCTGGATTAAATGACATTAGCCAAGAGAATCTTGTGTGATAAGAGTGCTCTATCTGCCCTGTCTAATACAGTAACCACTAGCTTCACATGGTTATTTAGCACTTGGAACATGGCTAGTGTAACTGAGGAACTGAATTTTTAGTCGTATTTCATTTCAATAAATTTAATTTAAATGGCTACACTTGGTTAGAGGCTCCCATCTTGGACAGAGCAGATTCAGGAGGCCCAGGACAAAGTGGTCAGTAATAGTCCCCTTCACGTCTGCCCCTAGCAGAGGGAATTCAGAGCCTGATGCAGCTGCTGTTCTGAATCTGGTTGAGGAGAGAAAGACTCAAAGAAACAAATCACAAGCCTTGGCATGAGAGTAACCACAGGGACTCTAGAAGCCTAGAGAAGGTGACCTAACCTGGCTTGTGGGACTGGGAGTGGCTGGCCTAGTGGGGTGAGGTGGGGGTGGGGTGGGGCAGGGGAGGTGATCTTGCAGAGGGAACAGCAGGGCAGAGCGGATGGACAGCAGACCATCACACGTGTAAGTGCTGCAGGGTATCGAAGCTGGGGCTCTCCAAGGGAGCCGGGCAGAGGCTGGGGTGTGAAGGCGCCCACCTGCTGATCTACAGGGCGCTGTTATCCTGCAGGACTTGGAAGCCATTCCAGGTTGTGAATGAAGAACACACAATTTATTTTTATTTGTGACTCTAATAACATAGCTGTGACCTCAGAAGACAGCACCTGGGAACATCTCGGTTGTGCTGTGGGTGCCTTCCCCTCCCTTCCCGCAGCCTTTCACTCAAACTGGCCCCACGGCATGTGCCTGTCAGGGCTGCTGTGGGTGTCGTCCTGCTGCCGTCAGACTGGCATCTGGGAAAGGTCTTCTCACCGGGCAGGGAAGGGTCCGGGGCTCCGTCCACACAGATCTGCTTCTCGTTCACCGACGAAGGCTTGAGGGTGTACACCACAAATAGCCCAATTCTTAAGGCAGAAAGAGAAGGACACATTCAACTGTGGGTTTGGCCCATGTCTCCTGAGCACCCATGAATGTTTCCTACACAGATCTACCCAAATGCAGCTTCAAGGGAGGACTTGAGGGGGAATTGTGTTACTCTGATCAGTGTGATCTTTCCAGAGACTTCTCCAATCGGTCAGGATTCATCAGAGAAGCTGACTCTGGCTCTGCCAGGTCAATAGGACAGACATGGCTGAGGGCACAACAGCTGAAATGTCCTATCAGCTGGGAAATCTGCAAAAGGCAGGCGCGTTGGGTCACTGGCTGGTGAGGATGGCCGGGCTCATGCGAATCCTGGGTTTCTTGTACCAGGGAGCAGTGAACCCACAGCCCTGTTGAGGAGTCTAGGGGACCCACCCCTTTTTTCAAGCCATGAACAGAGAAAATGTTTCTAGGAAGGTCCAGGGAAATAGAACCTGCTGCTGCATTGAAGGGCGGTGCTGCTGAGCTGAGTGTGGGAAGGAGAGAGCTGGGTCTACGTTCCCTCATGAAGCAGCCCTGATGCTCTGCCCTCTCTCCCGGGGAGCCGGCACAATACCTGAGCAAGTCCTGGAGGCTGAAGTGGCCCCTCAGCTGACAGCCCAGGATGGCAATGATGGTGGACATCTTGGAGGGGGTGAGGCCTGGCTCGTTGAAGAGGAAGACGAGCTTGGGAATAAGCTGTGCCTGGTGAGCAACTTCAGCATTCCGGGGTCCTTCCCTGGTGAGCCCAGGAGAGAGGCAGTAAAAGCTTTTACTGGAATGAACCAAATTTGCTGTGTTTCTGCTAAAAAAGGTTCCACAGTCTGTGTTTGCCGGCCCTCTGACTCTCATGCTCTCCTGGCAACTCATCAAAATGCTCTCAGACACCCATCGAATATGTGTCTGCCCAGTGCCCCAGTCGCTTGGGGTTGAGCCTCCCATGCCCTTCCATCCCCAACCCCACCCCCACCGGAAACTGCCTTCAAAGACAACCACCAGTTATTGGCTTTTAAATTCCGAGCCTCAGGGAAAACTAAAGCTGGTCTCAGAAAACTCAGAACAAAAAGCGCAGACTGGAGCACGGCCACGGAACACTTCCCAAGAGCCGGAACGCCGGCCTCGGCCAGCCAGTCAGCATGTGTGTCTTCCTGCTCGCCCCAAACCACAAAGTGGATGAACACGCCGCTAAGGGTCAAAGGGGAGAGAGATGGGATTCAAGCCTCCGCACCCCCTCCTCAGGATAATCGCAAATACAATTTCCTGTAAATTCTACTCCCCCAAAGAAAACAGCTCCCAGGGTGAGTGTCCATCTCTTAGAAAACAACAGGTACAGAAAGACAGTGGAAAGGGGGAAAGAAAAGAAACTGGAGGAGAATGAATGTGGATGGATTGCTCCTTCCTGAGCCGTCTTTCAGTACTGCTGTGTTGAATTCTGCCGAGCCCCATATCCCTGATACACAGAAGAGGTAAAACCAGCCAATTCTGTGTGTGGCTTGCACTCATGGGTTCAATGGGAAGATGTGCATTCATCACCTATAGGTCCCCAATGTCCTTTGTGCTCTCATCACAGCACTGAGCAACCTGCTTTCTGCATTCCTTCTCCACAGGGGCTGTGTCTTGTCCTTCCCTGAACCTCCAACACTAAGAAGTGAAGTGGGTTATAATAGATAGTCAATCATGAGTAAATGAATGAAAGGGTGGTTGCAAACACCTTCAAACACTAAGGTGCTAATGATCACTAGGACAGCCAATCTGTAAGGAGTCAGGTGGAGGTGGATATGAATAGCCCACTGTGTAAGGAAGGAGGTGGGTTGATAGACTGGCTTCCCTGACTCCCTTTTCCCTCATTCTGATCACAATCCCTGGTTTTCTTTGGGACTTAGCTCTTTCTAACTCTCCTCCACCCACTCCAGAGGGCAAGAGATGCTCCTGGCCTGGCCACATGACCTAAGATGGCCCAGGAGACTCCCTCCTACTGCTAGGAGTATTGAGTGAAAAAAAAAAAAGCCCTGCTGACTGTACAGAGCTGAGGACACTCTATGAAGTTGCCCAGCCAGAATGAAACCAGCATGGAAAAAAGCACAGACAAGACCAGGGATAGATCTCAGATAAAGTAATATAAGCACCATCCAGACAACATGTGAAGATCTGCCTCTGTCAACTGTATAAGCCAATAAATGTCCCCTTTCTCTGCTTTCCTTTTCACCCTCTATTTCTTTCTTCTTTAAGTTGGTTTGAGTTCTGTTTCTGCCATTTGCTATCAAAAGAGCCTTGACTAATTCAAAAAGTAACAATGTGATGGCATTTGGAGAGGGGCCTTTGAGAGATACTTGGGTTATGAGGGTGAAGCCCTCATGAATGGAATTAGTGCCCTTATAAAAGAGACCTCAGAGAGCTCCCTTACCCCTCTGCCACTTGAGGTTGTAGTGAGAAGACAGCAAACTATGAACCAGGAAGCAAGTCCCCACCAGACACTGGATTTGCCAGAGTCTGATCTTAGATTTTCAGCCTCCAAAACTGTAAGAAATAAACTTCTGTGGTTTGTCAGTCCCTTAGTCTACGGCTTCCATTGGAAGAAAAGCTATGACCAACCTAGACGCATATTAAAAAGCAGAGACATTACTTTGCTGACAATGGCATGTCTAGTCAAAGCTATGGTTTTTCCAGTAGACATGTATGGATGTGAGAGCTGGACCATAAAGAAAGCTGAATGCTGAAGAATTGATGCTTTTGAACTGTGATGTTGGAGAAGACTCTGGAGAGTCCCTTGGACTGCAAGGAGATCAAACCAGTCCATCTTAGGACTTCCTTAGGATTTCCTTTAGAGGAAATCAACTCTGAATATTCATTGGTAGGACTGATGCTGAAGCTGAAGTTCTAGTACTTTGGCCAGCTGATGTGAAGAACTGACTCACTGGAGAAGACCCTGATGCTGGGAAAGACTGAAGGCAGGAGGAGAAGGGGAGGACAGAAGATGAGATGGTTGGGTGGCATCACCGATTCGATGGACATGAATTTGAGTAAGCTCCAAGAGCTGGTGATGGACAGGGAAGCCTGGCGTGCTGCAGTCCATGGATCACAAAGAGTCATACATGACTGAGTAACTGAACTGAACTGAACTAGTCTATGGTATTTTTTGTCTTAGCAGCGGAATAGACTAAGACAGACCTACTGCCCCCTGGGGACCTCATGCTCTGGGAACTGGAGAAGTCCATAGTTACTGAGCAACTGGCTGTCCTGTCCTTCTAGTCCTATTCTTGGCATGAAACCTTAGCTGCAACCCCCATGCTGCCAAAGCCCAGCCTACCTCGTTGACTGAAGGATTTCCACTAGATGGGAAAAGAGAGAGAGCTCCAAATTGTCAGCAGCATTCATCCAGAGCTAGAAGACAGAACACAATGAAGTCAAGTGTGTGAAGGGTACGATTGCCAGGCAGTGTGAGCCAGTGAGGAGCTCAGAGTGGTCTTCTTTGGCTTGGAATCACTAACACAGCTTACCAGCTCCAGAATCATATCAGTTCTCCTGAGCGCACGACCCCCAGGAGAAAGTGCAAACACCATTCCTGTCTTCCCCATCTCTGCTGCTGTCTGGAGCTTTGCTGTGGATCTAGATTCAAACCAAGGACACCTACAGTGACCATCTTCTACCTGTGTCCCACCCTGGGCCTCACAGCCTGTGCATCAATACAGCAAATGCATGTCATTCTCATAGGATCCTACTATACAAGGCAAATACCAGTGTTCCCAATTTAGAGATGAAAAAATAGAAGGTAAGATAGACCTTTGAGAAACAGGTCCCTTACCACCAGCAAATCGTTGAACTGGAATTAGGAGCTGAGTCTCACCTCTCAGGTTTTATACTGCAGCAACTATGCATTCAGCTTGTGTGTGCAATTTCTTCAGATCCCCTATCTATAGAACCTGTAGCTCCTATGCAACAGAATTGTGAATGACACACCCTTGTGAAATGCACTGAGATTCTAAGAGAAAAGTTTATCACTCAGGTTATTTTCTTTATTGTAAATAAAATGCAGCTGCTCCCCATTCTTCTGGGGCAAAGGTGATAGTGTACCTTCATTCTTATTTCTATTAATACTTCCCTTTAGAGAGCTCTATTATTCTCATCTAAATGATGACATTTCCTAAGTCCCAGAATCTAGAAAGTTCAGATGTGGGAGTTTAAAGAGTGTACTCATAGCAGCAAAAAGAGCTCACACTTACAAATGGTACCATTTGCTGGAGGCAAGAAGGATCGCACAAAGTCCCAAAACCAAATCATTATCCTCATTTAGTAGATAAGAACGGTGAGTCTCAGAGAGACTGAGTACCTTGTCTGGCGCCCATGGTTTTTAATTGGCAGAGACTGGCTTCAAAGCCTGGTCTGTCTGACCATGGAGCCCACACTCTTTCCTTCTTGCTGTGTTCCCCCACAGGCATCTCCTGCAGACAGTGACTCAGAGAGTCAATAATCAACCTCACTTGAACCAAGAGTAGTCATGGCTCCATCCATTTACTTATGGGGGAAAGTGGAACAACCTCAGTGGCTTTAAGTTTATTATGAAGGCAGAGACTGTCCCTCTCCAATCCCCAAGGCTCAGCATCATACATGCCACGTAGTGACCTCTTAATAAGGATCCACTCCCTTTTTTAAAAGAGTGAATACAAAGTAAACCAAAATAAGACAAGTGTAATACTCTTAAGCCAAAAACAGCCTGACATATTTCCAGCCCCTGAAAGCACCATCACTGCCAGGTACACACAGAGGTAGGGAAGCTGTCATTTGAGAGAGCTGGTGTTGAAAAATGTGGCTCCCGGGAAGGTAGAGGTAACCAGACACGGCACCCCAACATACTCAAGAGGATGCCAAGAGCTTTGCATACTTAAATTCATGCATTCATTCATGAAGGCAGTCACTGAATAAATGATACATCAGGCTCTGTGTTGGGAACTGGGGGAGCTGAGAAAGTAAGACAGACACCCTGAAGCATACGCCTCCTCTGTCTTCTACTCCAGAACTTTAGAAAAATAAGTTGCCCCAGCACACTTGAGGCTACCCAGATCTTTTAGAAATTACTTTACATAATGCCAACTGTCTGAATTTTGGAAAACATGCATAACTGAATCTTTTGGTTGTTATTCTATGTCATATAACCCCTGTACTAAAGACTGTATTACGAAGTCTCTATTAAGTTAGTTTGAATATCAAATGAATAATGTGTCAAATTCTGTTCTCTCCCCACCCCTAGGACGACCTCAGTCTCAGAAAGGGGTGGCCTTTTCTGAAGCCACTGGCCTAAGGCATGCAGGACTTCAACTTCCTGTCCCTTTCAGCTTCTCAATGTCCTGCTCCCCACTGCTGCAAACCAGTCATCAAGGGTCTGCCCCTTCTGTTGTAACCTACTCTCTGCTCCCCAAACCTTCCCTCTCCTTGAAGGACTTGTCCCATCAATAGTTGATTCTTACACTGGTATTTTAGATGCCCCCTTTTCACTGCTCAAGTCCCCTAAGTTCTGAAACACTTCTTTAATTTTCTTCTCTCCTTGTCTCTTCTTCAAAAGCCCACCAACTGTCTCCTTCCAGCCTCCTCCCTGCTCTTCACCTGATGTCCAATTCCACCATTTACTCTTCCCTGGGCCTGTCAGTGACCTCCAAACACAACAGACACATCCCTGCCCAGACTTCACTTGATGTAGCCAGCACTGGGGAAATCCTTCTTCTTTTTAAAATTCTCTCCTCTCAATCTTTTAAAAATGTTATGTCACTTCATTGGTTTATTGTGGATTTTTTAAAGCATCTTCTCTGCTTGTTTTTTATTAGTTCCCTATTTTCTTAACCCAAGTGTGAAAAGCACCAGCTCAGCTGAGGGGCTAGTTCATTCAGGGAGGGGATGGGTGGTGCCCATGGTGGTTCCAGGAGCAGGCAGTGGAAGGCCGGTGGGTTCCTGTGTGGGTAATTCCTGGGCTGGGCTGGTGGCAATGATATAGAGGAGCCAAGATGCCTGAGCATAGCCATGGCATTTTAGAAGGGGCAGCAGTGTGGTCAAGGCATGCTGACTTGTTTACCAGGGTGGTAAGGCTATTTTGCATATTTGCTTCCTGCTGTGCACTGGGAGCCCATATCCCAGGTCTGGTTGACTTCCCTGACAATCCTTGCCTCAATCTCCAAATCCAGGAGGAGAAGGGGATGACAGAGGACGAGATGTTTGGATGGCATCACTGACTCAATGGATGTGAGTTTGAACAAGCTCTAGGAGATGGTGAAGGACAGGGAAGCCTGGAGTGCTGCAGTCCATGGGTTGCAAAGAGTCACCTCTATCTGCAATAACATCGCTGCAGGTGCCCCAAGCCACATGCTCTCAAATGCCTGTGGTTGTTCTCATCCCTACATGTGAGTCAATAGCATCCACTCCACCTGGAACATTCCCCCACTGAATATGTTCTGCCAGACTCGGCCCCAGAGTCCTGATTAATGAGTTGAGCTGACTGTCCCCTCTTCAGACTCCCCAGAGGCCCTGTCCCCTGCTCACTAGCACCCAGCACATAGTAGCATCAGCTATGTCCTGTCCTGGGCCCAGATGGCTGTGTGTGGGAGCTGTGTCTTGGTTATCACCATGCCTCCAGAACACACCAGCATGTGACCAGCATTCAATAAATGATGCTTTGTGAAGGGATCTACCCAAAGGTCTGCCCAATACTCCTCACTCAGCCTCCTATGTGCCCTCAGGATGTCTCACTCATTCCTTTACAGGAGCATTTCTAAACAGCAAAGCATCATCCAAAGGAACTGGGATGCTTTAATGTCCTCTTATGTATGGAAGCCTACAGTTTTAAAATATTTTCCCAGGTAGTAGCGGATTTGACTCCCATACCAGCCCATGAGGGAGAGATGATGGCCTACCTTTCACACAGGAGAAGACTCAAACTCAGAGAAGTCAAGAGACTTGCCCGAGGCCATACAGCCTAATGGTGGTAGGAGTTAATTATAAAGCAGGGCCTCTGAGCTCCAAAGCCTTTGTGGTTTTCTCTCTCACTACCACCTTGACCATGGAGGAAGCTGATTCGCTGGGTTTAGAGGAGGCTCCAAGCTTTCTGTATCATCACATACCTGCTTCTTTAGGGCTAGTGACCAACCTCCAGTTTACCTCGAAATTGCAGAGGATGTGTTGAAAGACACCAACGTTGGTGATTACAGAGGACCCAAAGCCCAGTTCTGCAGTGCCAGTGATAGATAGGATCAGCTGAAAAATGCGATGGTTTAGGAAAGAGGTCTTTTTCCTCAGGAGAAAAGCCATTATCTGCAAAGGTTAAAACACAAAGCAGTTTCCTAGTGAATGCATCATCAGGACTCTCTCCCTCATCCACCTGTTCCTGCCAGCACCTTTGGTCAGCCCAGTATGAAAAAACTCTGCTCTCTGGGACTACCTCATCCATTGCCTTTTTCTCAGAAGGAAAACAGACACCAACTTTTGCGGCTGCTTCCCCACCAGTGTCCACTTTTCTGTACTTATGTGGCTTCACCTCTCACTGTGGGCCCCGGCTCCTTCCTGAATTTTCCATATTTCCAGAATGCCACGGTCTCCTGGTTTCCTTCCACATTTCTGTGCTTTTCTCATTTTCCTTTACGGGGTCCTACATTCATACCCATCACACAGATGATGCTGTATCACTAGGCAGCCACCATCTGCCCACAACCCCAGTTACATCAGCTTCACTTCAGGCTGCTGCCACCAGATGTACCATTCTGCCATTCTGCTGTGCCAGGCCCTGGGAAACTGGCAGCACACAGGCATCCATACCAGGGTCCAGGCACTGGAACCCCAGTGGCCCACACTCATCTCAGAGACTGACTAGGTGGATCTAACCTAGCCTCCTGTCTCTGTTGACTTCAGTAGCACAAAAGTCAGGCTGACCTACCATCCACGTGTATCTGGGTTCTCATCCACTTCATTGAGAGTCTCAGCTCAGCTCATTCACAGCTCAGTTCCCCACTCCTGGATCTAACAAAGTCCACCCCCCGTCCTCTTAGACATACTCTTCCACTGTGTCATCAGGAAGTCTCACTCGTCAAGGGCTGAATGTTTGTTTTTCCCGAACTCCATATGATGAAACCCTAGTCCCCAGTGTGATGGTATTTGAAGGTAGGTCTTTTGGGAAATAATTAGCACCAGATGAAGGCATGAGGGTGGAGCCCTCATAGATGGGATTAGTGCTCTCAAAAGAGTCACAGGAGAGCATTCTTCCTCTCTCTACTCTGCCATGTGAGGATACAATGAAAAGTTGGCCATCTGCAATCCAGGAGGGTCCTCACTCAACCTGACCATGCTGGCATCCTGGTTGTGGACTTACCAGCATCCAGAACTATGAGAAAATTAATTTCTGTTGCTAATAAACCACCCAGTCTATGGTATTCTGTTATAGCAGCCCAATCTGAGACAATTTAAATCAGCAAATAGTTTCTTTTCAGACTATTCCAGTCACTTCTTTGGCATATCTACCATTCCTTACTCCACTACCAGGACATAATTAGAATGGCTGAAAGCTGCATGAGAAAAATCACTCAAGTTGACTGATTTCATTTTACATTAATAGTGTCAAATGTCAAATTGGTATCCAATTTGGCCTGGCAGTCCAATTCTGTTTTTTTGTAAGCTGGCTTTCCTCATCCTACAGATGATGACCTCAACTCTTCTCCTCTCTCCACAACTTCCCACCACCATCACCCAACCCAGTACACAGTTGAGAGTTTAGAACCCAGACACGAACACCCTCATCTCCTCACCACCAGACCCACAAATGCCTGCACTGCATTCCTTCCTGTCACGAGCCGGGTTTCCATTCACCTGCCCTCTGGAACCCACCCCTCGCCTGCTCCTTAGTATAACTCTTCTGTCCTAGCTCCACCCATATTTCTCTTTCTTGCCACTTTGTTCCTGATAAACACGGCAAGAAGTACATATGTGTGTTTGTTTTCAGTTGTTCAGTCAAGTCTGACTCTGCGATCCCACGGAGTGCAGCCCACCAGGCTCTTCTGTTCATGGGATTTTTCAGACAAGAATACTGGAACAGGTTGCCATTTCCTCCTCCAGGGGACCTTCCTGATCCAGGGATAGAACCTGAGTTTCCAGCATCTTCTGCATTGCTGGTGGATTCTCTACTGCTGAGCCACCAGGAACAAGTACATGTACATCATCCCAAATGAGCATGCATATTAGGAAAAAGCAAGAAAAGGTGCGAGAAATGGATGAGTTAGAGTGAGGGAGAGGCAGGAGACATAGACTGTGGTCCAGCTGTGGCCACAGTCCAGGTGAGAGGGGGTTGCTTGACATGACACCGGACAGCTTTCTTCTAAGACCCTGACTTGAGTGCCAAAGAGAGAAGGAGGCTCTTTCCTGCCCACACTGGGCCCAGAAGGAACCTGCAGCTGTTGTGCCTCAGGGACTTTGTCTAGACTTTGACCCTAGTCTCTGCCCTCCATGCTTCCTTTCTTGGATGCCTCTCAGCCAGGCAGGGCACTCCTGGAGGACAGTGTCCATGTCTCATCTGACATTATGAACAGTAAGTAGCAATATAATCATCGTGCACACACACACAGCAGTTACTCTGAGCAGCCATGCTTCTAAGCACTCAGCATATATTAATTCTGTGATCACGATCCTACACAATAGGGGCTGTTATTATTCTTATCTTACACAGAAGAGAACTGAGGCACAAAAGTTAAGAACTAAAGTTGGCCAACATTTCTAGGGCATTTCTTCTGGACCAGACATAATTCTAAGCCCTTAAATCATCGAGTCCTCACTGCAACCTCATGATACAGGAGATACAATAGATCGTATTGTACAGATGTGGAAACCAAGACAGAGAGGGGTAAGTAACTCAGGAAAACTTAAATAGAAAGCTAGGAAGAGGCTCAATTCCAACCTAGCACTCTGGTTCCAAGGTCTGGGTTCTTAGCTGTCATGCTAGATGCAAAGTAGGGGGCTCACAAATGATTCTTGAACTCATCAGTGAAAGATGCTGGCAGCCACAGACAGGTGAGCATCCCCGTCCTGCTCAGAGCCCCTCTCTGGCTGGTGGTCACCTGGCCCTCTGCTCTGGTGATGCTGAGGGACCAAGGAACTTTCAGTTTCCTTTCTCCAAAGTCATACTGATAGGAATGTCTACTTGGGCCAGCAGGCTCCTCCCCGTTCCTCGGGGATGACAGCTTCTTTCTGGGTGGTGGTGGGCATTTGCAGACACAGGTGGGAGGGTGGACTTACCTGGTACCCACAGATGTGCTGCATCAGGCGGTCACACATGACATTGCTGGTCAGAACCAAGTGCAGGACTTTCACAGCCGCGTACATGCTGTGGTCATCTGTTGCTAAGGAAATGAGGCCCAGGAGGATGGCAGGCCCGCCAATGAAGTCCAGGCTGCTGGCAGCAGGGCTGGAGTGGAACACCCTTACCCCTGTGTGGGACAAAGACTTTCCTGAGTATACCACAGCTTCATTGCAGTGGAAATTCCTCTGGCAGCATGCAAGAGCTGTCAGGGACATCATCCACTTACAGCTGTGGGGCCTGTGCACAGGACAAGCTGGGAGGAAGAGTAGGGGCTTTAAAAGTTTTAGGTCACTGAGAGATCCTGTGCTGAGTCCTTTCTGGGTCATAGAAGGCTGAAACAGCCCAGGGGATTTCAGACCTCCACCCTCTGTCTTAGTCCAGAGTGCCAGATGAGCCAGCCATCCTCTGAGCTGGCTGCTCTGACAACCTCTGGCTCTTGTCTGGGCTCTAGATCCTGCAGCATTGGCCCCTGGCACCAGCTCTCTGGTTTGCTCTTGCCTGATTGTAAGGCACAGTCACCAGTTGTTTTTTTCACCCAAACTACCACCACAATTGCCTCTGCTCAGAGGCCCCACTATACTCACTAGAAAGGCTCCGTTGTGCATAGATGCCAGCCTGGTTAGTAGCAAGCTCACTATCAGTTGTCAGATACAGCGAAGTGGTTTGATCTCTGCAGGGAAGCTGACTCTCTGGTGGGGCTAACTCTCAACTCTTACTCTCACCATCTGAGCTTCTCAGCCCACTCAGTCTTGCCTACCACCCCAGAATTCCATGCTGCACAAGTGATGCCAGCCACATGCTCTTCCTCCCAAATAGCAGTAAAAGTTCATACCTAATTGGCCCACAGCAACAGCTCCAATGGTTCGAAGAGAACCCGAGAGGTGACCAGCACAATTTCTTAGCAAGAAGACAGGCACAGCACTGTCACGGGATGAAATGTTCATCTGGAGAAATTGGCAACAGTTAGTCCTAAGCAACTTTCCTGGAGAGGAGGAGGTCTTGTTCAGGAGCTCCTGGAGGGCAGGCATCCTGAGGCCTGGCACTCCGTTAGTGTAAGCCATTGGATAAATAATAACTGAACCAACATCAGAGGGACTGAAGCCAAAATTCAGGTTCTGTCCTGCCTCCCAGTCTTTGGCTTAATCAGAAGGGAGAACCTTTCATTATACAATTGTGCCACCAATGTCCCACATGGTTACTAATTAAACAAATGCTCACAGTGAGGAGCTGATGAGAGTAGGAAGGCCCTGAGGACACTTAGAGGCATAACAGTGTTGAGGAGGCCAGACCTGCCTTCTTTCCTGTCTAGGGTCATCCATACAGCTCTTCAAGTCCTGGCATCACTGGTCTCCAAGGGCCAGAAGACGGGACCCTGGCCTCTTCTAGCAGAAAACTCTGCTGGTAAGGCATAGCTTTAGTGCTCAACAGGACTTAACTCATGATCCTGCCTCCTCAGGAAAGGGAGGGGACCCTCTGTCTGTGAGGGTAGCGAGAATATAAACAAATGAGCCCAAATTCATCAACAGTAAAAGAGCTCTTTATGCAGGGGATTAGGAAATAGGAAATCTAGTGGCCTCTTTACCTAACTAACTTGTCTGCTTGTTGCTTTGCAAATTTTTGCTTAAACACAATGACTCAAAGACAGCCTTAGGGGTTAGTAGCACCCAGGAAAAAGAAGTTTAATAGTGTTCCCAGTGTCACAAGTGTTGTTTAAATATCCCATTTGTTCTTGCTCTACTGAAGCAAATGAAGAGTACCTACTTTCTTCTCTGAAAGAAGAGATTTGGTCTTGAGGAGTGTGAATGGGCAGGAGCCATAGAATATTTTCACAAATGAAGTGTGTCTGTCAACACACACACCCAAATGTAAATTAGTGTTCATTTAATCCCTGAAAGCTGCAGCAAGCCATGAGATCTTTATTCCAAAAAGGAGCAGCAAGTAATGTTAGAAGGTGTACCTCTTTGGCAATCAGACGGCTGTCCACCTCGTTGTATGTGCTTCTGATGTCTGCAACAGTGGTGACGGAGGAGCTGGCTATGTGAAGGCCAAAGGAAACCTTTTCCTCTGCAACCAGGGGTGTCACTTCCACACCAGGATCCTCTCCTACAACAACACATCTTCAGTTATTTCTACTCTCACTTTACTGAGTAGGAAATTAACCCTCAGAAGACTGAACATCTACTGCTACATGGCAAAGTCATCACTGAGCAATGTTCCTAGCTATTATATGTTATTACATTGTATGTCATATATCATATGTGTCATTTCTGACACATAGAAAACTGTAGAGAAATCTCACAATATTAACCCTACTACAAAATAGAAGCACTCCAGGTAGGAAATTACTAATACTAAGTCTTGAGATATCTATTGGGAATGTAACCTCACCCCCAAAACCAAAGTGCTGGGCTGAAAGTCCTGTGGTTTTCAGTGAGCTGCAAGTCCGTGGTAAACACCTCCCTTGGTTTTAGCATACAGGTGCTCACTCAAGGAGAGTGAGCTCACTCAAGGAGAGCTAGATATGCTACTTGAGAAGCATGGTGTAAACAAAGAGTTGATGACACTTTGGCTCTAGACCTGGCCTCCTCACATTGTCCTTGCCAGTGATCGTTGCTAGAGGAAATGAAGTTCAAAGAACACATGAATCCTAAAGGCAGAAATGCTCCACAGTGCTCAGTCACCCTTCACCATGCAGGAAAGCATCAGTACATAGATTCATTTATCATTCTTCCCAGATGAGAGTTGACCCCCTCGACTTGGCAGAGCACAGAGAGCAATATTCCCTGCTTGAACAGCCAACAATCAATAATGAAAATGTGGATGTTTTGTCTGCCTGTTTAATAATTGAAGACAACAGTATACTTTAGTTAAAAAGCTTCTTCATTAAAAGGAATGTAACTTATTTATCTCATTCTCTTCCCTCTTTTTTTTTTTGCTGATGCTATTACCTACCCACTTTTCTCTATTACATACTCTGGAACTGAAACCTATAGGAGATTGTCATTTCCTTTTCTGTGACATTTTCTATTGGCTTGTAAATATATAATAATCCAGCTACAGAGGACTTCCCTAATGACTGGCCTGTGATGAGTTTTTTCCTTATAAATAAGCTATAAATAACTGGATGTCTTTTTAACAATTACAATCAGCAAGGTCATTATAAATCAAAACACCCCATACCTTGGACATGCACAGCCTGGAAGTTACCACAGTATCTTGGGCCAAGTTTGTTAATAACTTCCAGGGTTTCCATTGAGATGGCTTCTTCAAAGAAGTAGGTGGGGCCCAGACGCCATATTAGTAACGACTTTTGTTTCCAAACTCGAGGGGTAGCAATATATCCATAAACATCCACAAATGAGGATGGATCCATTGAAAGGAATGGTCCTGGTAAGGCCTGAATGTACAACATCTGTTAAAACAAAAAGGTGGGGGAAAGGGGTAGATGGGACGTATTTAATCTCAGAATTAATCAAATAAATACATAAAACAAAAAAAGATGTACCTTATTCATCTCTCAAAGTAAAAATTTTATTCAGAAACATTACAAAGATAACTCTCAAAGGTGAGAAACACTGTATAAAACAGTTTATAAAAAAAATTCTGTGTGTATGAGCTCTCGGTTGTGTCCAACTCTTTTATGACCCCAAGGACTGTAGCCTGCCAAGCTCCTCTGTCCATAGCATTTCCCAAGCAAGAATAGTGGAGTGGGTTGCTATTTCCTCCTCCAGGGTATCTTCCCAACCCAAGGACTGAACCTGAGTCTCTTGAGTCTCCTGCAATAGTAGACAGATTCTTTACCACCAGCACCACCTGGGAAGCCACGTGGGAGTAAAAAACTGACATTGTGCCTTTGGAAATCAATGTGATAAAAAAATATAAAGTGTCACTAAAAGGTTCATCTTTTTCTCCAGTCATTTCACAAAGAACTTTAAAGTCCAATGTTGGCACATTAATTAAGCTTTACATACTAAATATAGCTACAGACTAGAAAGGAAGAAATAAAACTGTCTCTATTTGCAAATGTCACATCCATGTAGAAATTTCTAAGGAATTCACACAAAAAAAACTAATAAATGAATTCATCAAAGTCACAGGATATATGATCAACACATAAAAATAAATTGCATTCTATAGACTAACAAAGAACATGCAGAAACTACAATTGCTCACAAGAAAAATAAATACTTTTTTGTTCTGCAAAATCCCATGTGAAAGAGGATGAAAGAAAGCTATAGATTAGGAGAAATTATTTAAAAAATTACATATCCAACAAAGGACCATTATCTAAAATATTTAGATAAAACTCTTAAAATTCAATAGCAAAACAGTAAACAATCCAATGAGAAATGAGTGAAACATATACACAGACATCACTAAAGAGGATATACAAGATGCAAATAAGGTTCTAACATTTGAGAACAGCTGATTCATCTCCAACCTAAGTCCATATTTTTTCTTGCTCAACAGACACCTGCATCTAAACACAGACCTTATGTTTATCCATTTAAATTTCACTTGCTGATCCTGACCCAACTTGTTGAAATCATCTTGGAAAGTCATCTCTGTCAGTCTTGGCCCTTGGCCATTCTCCATGCCATATTTTGCATATTTTGACATATTCCCATGGCATCTCATCCCTTTTAACCTCCATGCTGACTCACTCTGGTTTAGCAGGCCCCTGAGGTTGGATGTTCATCTATGTGCCAATTCACTAAACAACATATCAGTCTTGTAACTATAAATTCAATATGATTCATCAAGTGTATATTGCATGCTTTCAGTATGCCAGTCCCTGTGCTAGGTGAAAGCAAGTTCCAGATATCAATAGGACAAGGCTCTTAGCCTCACAGTACATGTTCTACTTCAGAGAATATAATCTATTCTATGAAACAAGACTGGATACCAATATACTCTGTGAAAGAGGACCAAAACTAGCCCACTCTGTAATTATGCCTAAAGAGATTTAAAAAAAAAAGAAAAAGACTTTGGGTGACCACAAATGTAACCACACTTTTCATCCTGGCTAACGTGAGTGACCACTGCTCTTTCTCCAGTGACAGTTTAAGCCCTTTCCCTTTCTTTCTGCTTCCTGATTAAAAGTTCTGGACATACACAGACACCAAATTGTCTCTCTGACAGCACCCCATTCAGAACTGACTGACCTCCACTTTTTTTGAACCCTCCCCCAAATCACCTAAAGTGAGCCCAAATCCTGTTAGTTCCTCCTAACACCTTATTACTCCATGCTAAGGAGGGTAAGAAGGCTCTTGCTACAGCAAGCTTCATAAATGTACCTCTTGTTCTGTACTATATGCATGCTCCTAGAGGTATTTGACTGGTGGGCATGGGCAGTTCCTAATATCTAAAACAATACCTAACATACATATTAGGTGTTCAATAAATATTTAATGTGGGAAGGAGCGAAGGAAGAAAGGAAGGTGTGAGGTAAGAAGAACTGTTAACAATTGAAGTCAAAAGTTAACTTTACATTTTGAAGGACTTTTCTTTTAATACTCTTGATGAATCCTTCTGGTTACTTCTGTGACTAGGAGGCATGGCCATGGGGCAAGCACAGCTTGGGGGAAACATCTCACCTTAGCTGAGCCGATGACCTGTCCGTCCAGGTAGGTGAAAACTGTACAATTCCTTTTCATTTCCTTGGTGACAACCACAGCCAGGTGATGCCACTGACCACAAGCCAGCAGCTGGCCACACCTGACCCGAAGCTGGCGTCCCGCAGAGGGCTCAGGGTCATCCTCTGGTTCCATGACATCTGGAAGAGAACATAAGCACAGACCTCACCTGCAGTGTCAGGGGCCAGCACCAGGGGCCCTAGAGCCAGTGGAGCCAGTGCTGAGCCTCCCATAGAAAACTAACAGCAGCAGGAGGTTTCATTGCTTTGTGCCAGACCATATTACCATCCTGAGGCACAGAGAGGTTGGGTAACTTGCCTAAGGTTGCATAGTTGGAGTTCAAACCCAGGAGTCAGGCTGCAGGGTCTACCCATCACTAGACTGCCTCTATAGGGACACACAAGGGCTGGCAAAGTCCCAGAAGGGAAGGAGCTTAGGTGGCTGGGCTGTGTGTGAAGGACACCAAGTCAAATCCTGGGCCTTCCAAAGTCGATGTCTCACTATGAAACAGGGCACAAAAAACAGGCATGGCCATAACACCCTGGGCTTGGCCATCACAGTCCACTTTGGGCCACTGCAGGCAGGTAAGCTTGGAGATCCAGGCTGAGCTGTAGGCAGCAGAATCAGAATCAGCCACCTACCTATACAGCTGAAGGCAGGCAGGCACCCCAGGCTCTTGGGCCAAGAGCTGCTGACTCAGTCCCACATCCCCCAAGTGTGGGCGAAATCTTACCCAGGGGCTGAAACTCTTTCTCTTCTGTAGACACAACCAAGGAGAGGTCTTCCGGGCAGAGGCTGACAGAGAAGCAGATGAAGGGCTGCTCGGTCCTGGCCAGGTGGCGCACCAGGGTCAGGAAGCGCAGTGGATGGCCCTCCATGGCTGCGCTGTGCCTGCCGATCAGGAACCAGCAGGAGAAGGTCAGGCCCCCAGGTGGAGGGAAGGACCTGGCAGCACCTGGGGTCAGAACACAAGCACGCCCTGAGGCTTCGTCCTGCTGTGCAAGCCTGTCTAGACTCATGGTGGCTCTGATTCGGCCCAGGGGTGGCCCTGCTGTGTGCCAGTACTGGGTCCTGCCTGACCCACACCCAGTTCACAGTAACCCATGCAGCACGATGCTCTTGTCTCCTTCCTTGATCATACTCACAAGAATAAGTCATATTCCCTCCAGGACTTGAGCCTAGATCTTCAGAGCCTCTCTCCAATTCTGACCCACCTATTATGCTGCGTTGCTAATGAAGTGGAGAGGGACCATACCCCTGAGATCCATCACCACGTGGCCCACAGGTCAGCTGGTCTAAAGCCAGCCTGTGTGCTATGTGGGGCAGAGAAAGCCAGACTAGCTAAGCTAAACCTTGCCTGGGGAGCGCTCACTCTAAGGATACCCAGGCTGGCAATACAGGTGGGGTCCACTGTCCTCACTGAATGGGCAGAATCAGGCTTGGAACTCTGTGCTGATGAGCTGTAAATTCCATGGCTCCTCAGCACCCACCCTCCCACAGAAACCCAGACCCTGGCTCTCCTAACAGGGGGTGCCTGGTCTTCAGCTGAGGGCAGCACTGTACAAAGCACGCCAAGGCCCAGCTGATCCCCACAGGAGTCAAAGACAGGCTTGTTCCTCAGTGGCCATCGGCACAGAGCTCACATTCCTCTCCAGAGTCATCAGGTGGGGTGAGGTGTTCATGTTGGCCTCTGTCAGTCATTGACAAAGGGCATCAAAACCAAGGCTCAGCTTCCAAGTCAGCCGTCTGAGCCCATCAGTGCTCACTGAGCCCCGATATGTGCAGAGTTGTGGGATGGGCCCTTGGGATACACAGTGAACAGGAAACCCCTGGCTCATGACAGAAATGACCAAAGGGAAGGATGCGTTCTCTACAGATACGTGGGACCAAGAGGAAGACTCATGCTTTCTGGAAATGCCAAAAGGAAATCTGAAATCGAGACTCCCCCAGGACCTACACCCAGGTCAGGGGCAGGGGACCTCAGCAAGCTAAACCCCCAGGGAAACACATACCTGTCCCAATCCCTCCGGAGATCGAGTACTCAGTACTGGCTCCCATCACCGTAGCCAGGGTCGGAACAAACAAACAGCTGGAATAGGAAAGTGTCTCAGATCACTGAACTGTAAGCCAGCCTCTGACGTGATGTCTGCCCCACTGTCTGTCTTCAGGGGCCTCACTCCCTCCTAGATCATGGGGCCCCCAGGACACAAAGTGACTGATGCTGGCACCATGGCCCTAAGAAAGGAACCTGGTCTGGAGGCTGGAGGGGAGGGCAGCCTAGAATGCAGACAATCAGAAGAAGGAGACAGTCCTGGCCTTAGATGGCTGGGGATGCTGCCCCTGAAGATGGGGTGTCTGTGACCCAGACATTTTCCACAGCTGACTGTGAGAGCTGATAGAAAGAAAATACAGTTTGTAATCAACATTATAATTCACCCAAGGCACTGGGAAATTAATGAAAGCCTGTCATACCTGTAACCTTCCACGGACATGTCGAATTCCACGAAGGATGGAGCCAGGGCCGCCCTCTGAGGCTGCAGGTTGCGGGGGGAGGTCATGGAGATGAGGCTCAGTGCTGTCTGAAGGGTGATGGTCGAGCTCTGGGATGGCCCCATGGGCCTGAGGGCCTGTGTGCTTGCTGAGTGAGGGATGGCATCCCTGGGGGCCACTGCAGAACCCTCAGCAGGCACTGGCATCGCTGCCTGTGACCCTAGGGTTGCAACCAAGAGAAGAGCTGAGTCTTTGCTCAAAGCATTTCCACTTCTCTTCTGTCAACAGCCCCCACCCTTCTGCCACAGCCCCCAAGGAGGGCTCCGCAGAGCACCATGTATTCCCAAACCCCCAGGGTGGCCTCCTGGGCCCTCCCACTCACCCTGTTGCCTGGGACCTCTGCTGACGCTGATAACACTGAATCAATGGTGACAACCTGCTCCTCCTGGAAACTTCTTCTCCCTTTAATTCTATCATTGCCACCACTCCTTTCTACTACACGTTTTCTGTGGCTGTCATTGGCTTGCCCCATTAGCTGTCCTTCACTGGGGTTTTGTCCTGGCTCTCTGACCTCCAACTCTTTTTCACAACAGCCTGTCTCCTCAAAGGCTCTGTTTCCCACCTCCAGCGGCTGGCCCACTCCTGACTCTCCATCCTTGCTTTCCAACTGGGCCTCCTAGCCTTAACATCCTGTGTGATCTTATATTCAGCATGTCCATGGCTTTCTTTTCTCCAAGCCGGTTCCCTGGACCAGCATCTTGCCAGGTACCAGGCCAATGCTCTGTCCTCCAGACCCCCTAACTCCTTGCTGAACTGTGAGCTGGGTGAAGCTGACCCTGTTCTTCTGTCCAGGGGCAGTGCTGAGTACCCCTGCATATGCTGTGACATGAAGGTTGCTATGCTCCAGGCATAGAAAGGGGCCAAGTCCATGCTCACCATCACCATCTTATATGGGGCTAAGAGTCTTCTTCCTTCCAGATCTGGTCTTTATCTGGGGACCATGGATCTAGTCTTTCTGCTTGTCCTCATTTGCTTCATCGAGCAGCAGGCAAAACCATTTTTAAATCTCTCTGCTTCCCATATTCCATAAAGGATTCCTTACAGGAAATGCATGTTCTCTTTTAAATCCCATTATCCGGCCCCTAGTCTCTCCTCTGTCCTCACCTGGGCATCCAGAGTCCCCTCCATGCACATGAGATGAACTGAGCTTTTTCACTGCAGCCGATGGAGGTGAAGCAATTCCAAGGCCTAGAAACTGTCTGCATATCATGACAAACAAGAGAACCAAATGATGACATTTTCAGTCACAAGTTTCCTCCAGTTCCATCTGAACACTTGTCCTAGATCCTAGATCCCACTGGTTCCCCCACCATGCCTTCCCCTCTCGGCCTGGAATCCTTTTCCTCAGGCCATACAGAACCAGGGTGTCCCTGACTGGGCATTCAGACCAGAGAGCTGGTGAATTTAGATGCTTTTGACTTAACTAGTGACCAGCTAGAAGCCCCAAACTGGACCTGGAGAGGAAAAGGATTTTGTTGGGAAGAGGCTGGCCTGGCCCCTGGGTCCCATACCTGCTGGCTGGAGGGGCTGCCTTTGATCCCCCTGCACTTGGTCCTATATGCCTCCAGGGGTAAAGCAGCTTGTGGCCCTGAGCACCACCCTTCCTACATCAACACCCTCTAGGGCCACAGGTACTTAAGAGACCCTTGACCTCCCTCCTGCAGCCTTTCTTTCCTCTGCTTTTTTTGTCTTCTGTGTCTGCCCCTCCTTGTGCATCTTCCCTCGCTACTGGGACTCTCCAGGAAACATGTGGCCTCGTGGAGGGTCTACCAGTGAGAAGGCCCCACAGGATACAGTGGTGCTGCCTCTGGCCCCTCCATGTCACGTGTCCCGTCACTGCCCCTTATGCCGGTCAAGCTCCCTGTGGTCTAGTCTTTCTCTTGGCAGTCAAGCCCTCATAACTACCCCCCTGCCAGCCCCCACCACCCCTTTCAGCAGGGTGTCTTCACATGCCTGGTTCCCTCCTCTCCTGGACTGGTGACCATCTGCACAGGCCATAGACCTCAGCTACCACTGATCCCTTGAAGCCCCCTCTTTACACCCAATCTCCCAGCTGTGGTCCTCACAGCTCCACAGAGCTCTCACACTGCACTAGCATCCCCTCTAACACTTTCTGAATTCTCCGCAGGACCCCTGGCTTATTGCTTCACCCCCTAGACCATCAGCTCCATGAAAGGAGCTACGTCCACTCTGTGGGCTGCACATTGCCCAAGGACCCAAGACTCCAACCTGGGCTTGCAGTGACCAGTGCTGGGAAGGCAGAAGGGGCACGGGGATACTCTTACTGTCCACTGTGCACAAGCTCGGCTACCAGGGGCCAGCAAGATTTAACGTGCAACACACAGTACCTTAACACGTCTGCTTCGATGGCTTGGGAAGCAAGCTTTTCAAAAATCCTGATGAGGCCTGAGTGCAAGGGGCTGCTGCTGGTGGTCAGGGCCTTGTGGCAAGAAGTCATGAGGGTCCTGAGCATCCCCGCCTCACACATGACCTGACGGTTCTTCTCCGACTTCACCAGGGACTGGATGTGACTGGCCATGGAGCACTGGATCTCCCTGGAAAGCTTAGAGTAACCAAAGCAAGCAAGTGGTGAGCCCTGCAGGTCAGTATGTTTTGGGGGCCACTTTGGTCACCTCCCAGCTAGAGCTTGAGTTGGTGGTAAGGTGAAGATACTGAGTCCCCCAGAGCCTATTCTCACTGTCCCCAGTCTGCCTTGGGCACTCTCAGAGGCACCCTCTTCACACGAGCTGCCAGATAGGTAGATAGCTTAAGACAGACTGCAATCCAGCAGGCAAGAGCCTGCTTCAGTCTGAGATATGTGGTGGTTGAGCCACACGACATTTCTGAATTGCTAACATTTAAAATACTGACGATTCCACACAGAAGTCCGGATACGTGGCCTCTCTTAAAAAGTGAAAAGACCTGGTCAGGCCATTTGCCACTGTGAGTCTGTTGAGAAGTAGTTGGAGCTGGGCAAGCTGTGCCCTCTAGGGGGTCCCACACCTTACCCCCCAGCCACTGGCATCTTTCACTGGACAGTCCCGTTTCAGCTTGCACCCCCGGCCCAGAAGGTGGAATCCTGCGGCAGCTGCAGCCTGCTCCATATTCTCAGGTCAAACCACACCAGCCTACACAAGCTCCTGAAGTCACAGCTTCTGTGGAGAAGCCTCCCCTCCAACCCACTTCCTTTGTCTGTCTTTCTGGGCTAAGTGCATTCAGACACACATACAGCTGCCCTCTTATCTTCCCCCTGCCAGATTTCAACTCACTTTACCATCTTTATGCCCTTGAAGCCCACAGGATAGAGGCATAGAGTCAGCCTCATCAGCATTTCATCCAAATACATTACATTATTTTCATAATCTTCCTTTCTTCATAAAAAGATAACCCCTTGGCATTCCCAGCCTCCACTGAAAGGGAATTTCCTTCACAAAATCTTTACAGATTGTCCTCCTTTTCTTTTATTTTGTATGAGATTGTCTGAAATCACCAGGATGCCAGTTTGATCTTAAAGGAGGTATCCTGCAGTGGAGGCTATGGGGGCCTCCTTCTGCAGGTGGGGATACCCGTCATAGCTGCCCCTCCTGTGGGCGTCAGCTCCCCTAAGTGGTAGCTGCCCTGCTATGTAGCCCCATATGTATCTTCACGTGTGCATACAAGTGTATACATGTACATACACATGCACACATACATAAAAGTGGGCACACACACACATATACACCACCCCCGGACGAGAGCCAATGGGGCCATGCCCTTCAGCCTCCGTGGCTGAGACCCCTCACACTTGAGACCCCTGGCCTGTGGACTCATCCTCACTCAGTTGCTTCTCCTGCATCACCCTGCTTCCCTCACCTCCCTTCTCCTGAGCCTCCCTCCACAAACCTCATACACCGGTACCCTGTCTTGGACTCTACTCTGAGGAACACAACTAAAGGCTGTAGCTTGCTTTGCATACTGCACGCCTTTGCCCTAATCTCTAGTTTCAAGAAAAGGGATCTATGATGAAGTAGGTTATGTGTAGGTTAGTCCACCAATGTAAAGCCAGCAGTCACCATGAGGCACTTACTTTAGGACTCTGAACCCAACAATCAAAATTACCTTACTCTATCATCACCTCCCTGTGCGTGTAGTCATTCAAGGCCACCCTGCCCAGAGATGGTTCAGAGTATGTCTGTATCACCAAGGGACAGAATTCAGTAAGATGGCAATCTTCCTTAGACTGTGAACACAGTTTTATAGTATATATGTTTCAAGGATTACAATGTATGGTGAAACATATATACGCAGTTAATCACCAGTTTCTAGACTTTTTTTAAATGAAGGGGTGCACAGCTCAGCCTCCCACCCTTCCACGCCTTTCAGAAGCATGACACCTACAGCTTTTTCCTCAAACTGATGGCATCTGGTGAAATTCCCATTGTTACAATATCTCCAGTAATATTTTCAACTTCAAATTTTAGACTCTTTTAATTTAAAATGCAAACTACAGTAGAATGGTTTTTCAAGGGGAGTACTTCCAGGTAGGATTTCATCACTCTGCCAACATCACTGATATCAAGGAGAGATCTCATTACTCGAAGAAGATGGTCCTTGCAATGAAATCTTTATGCCTCCCCCCATCACCTCTCAAATTCAGATGTTGAAACCTAACGCCCAGTGTGATGGCATTTGGAGGAGGGATCTTTTGGGAATATTGTGTATGTGCTCAGTTATGTCCAACTCTTTGAGACCCCGTGGGCTGTAGCCCACCAGGCTCCTCTGTCCATGGGATAACCCATGCAAGAATACTGGAGTGGGTTGCCACTTCCTCCTTTGGGAGATCTTCCTGACCCAGGAATCAAACTCACGTCTCCTGTGTCCCCTGCATTGGCAGTTGGATTCTCTGCCACTGCGCCACCTAGGAAGACCCTGAGGGTAAAGCCCTCATGAATGGGATTAGTGGCCTTAGGAGAGAGACCCCAGAAAGCTCCTTTCTCCCTTGCACACTGTGAGGATACAGCGAGAAGAGTGCATGAGTGAGGAAATGGGTCCTCACCAAACACTGACTCTGTCAGTACCATGATCCTGGACTTGCCACCCTCCAGAACTGTGAGAAATGAGTTTCTGTTGTCTGTAAGGCCCTGGTCTATGGCATTTTGTTATAGCAGCCTGGATGGATGAAGACAATCCCCTTCTCTGTCACTGTGGTATCTGCACCGCCAGTGTGAACTGCTAGAGGGTCACGTAACCCAACAGAGACCAGAAATGGAAGGAAGAAATGCCAGATCTAAGTTATACTAAATGATTCCATGACTTTTACTTTAAGACACTCTTACATGTGGAAATCTACCCAACCTCCTTGACTCCCTTCCCCAGATCTTCCTTCTGATGCTCTAAGCATCCCTTCCTGCATCCATGGAGCCTGTACCTCTGCTTTCCTTCTCCTCTGCTCGAAACAGAAGAGCTGCTTCCATCCTCTTGACTAGAACTCTCCCTCTCCAAGAACTTGATTATTTGGTAACTGCAGTCTTTTAATTTGGGGTGAGAGTTGGGGAGACAGTCTGCATGAAGCAAGATGCAAAAATAACAACACAATGTATTATTAATAAGAATTAAAAACAAATGTCTACAATCTCCAATTTTTATTACCAGCACTTCACTTATTGCTTTGGGAACTTTTGGCTTTTTTGTTGTTGTTTTTGCTTTTGTTTTTTCCCCACCAGAGCAGGAATACTGAAAATCTAAATATGCAAAAAATAAAAAGTTTTCAAGAGGGAAAAACAGAAGTGCTGATGTTGTCTATTTGATGCCACAAGTTTACTCCAAAATTGCTCAATACCCCATAATGGAGGAGGGAAAATTGATCGTCCTCATTATCGCTGCAGCTCTGTCAATACCAATATTGCCTTGTTTTGAATAAAATGTGCTGTTTTTTTTTTCAATGTTGGTTCCAGTAAAATGGGGTTTTAGTGAAAATATGAGCAGTAGCAGGAAACCAGTCTGGTTTCTCCCTCTACAAATGGATTGATTTTCCTAACGCGCATTACTTCCAATGCAGGAAGGGGATGGTGGTTCAATTAGGACTTAGTGGTAAGCGCTTAGGGTCACCAGTGGACTGGACCCGCAAGGCAAATTATCACAGAGAGACGTGCGGGGCTGCCTGTAGGAGTTTTCTGCTTTCTCCACTTAGCAGCTGAGTCTTCATGTCTGTCCTTGTCCAGTTGTGGATGTTTAGTCTTTATCTGTCCCCCACCCGCCTCTTTCCTGGTCCAGATTGATACAGCGGTTCCAGAGCCCAGTGAGGGTTAGGTCCTGATGGAGTCGGTCCCTCCAAGGAGGTGTGGGCTTTGAGTACCTTAGTCCAGAGTGTGTCTTCTGGACATTAATCACACAATCTTGACACAGACTAAACACCATCAGATGACCAGCGTCTCCTTCCCCCAGACACTTAGAAAGAACTAGGGACTTCTACTGAGTTGCTTAAATGTGGATTAGTTGCTTATTCCAATGTTGTTGCAGTGTTCTTTATTTGATAATTTTGGAAGAGAGGTGATACACTTTAAGTGACTTCAGCTCTTCAGAGATAACATAGGTAAACAGGACTCACAGATGTGTTTTATTTGATAAGTTGTGCTTTTTGTCTTGTTTGCTTAGAATTAGTGCTCTCTTTACATGGGCATAAACTTTTCATTTTGTACAGTCCCCACCAGCCTGATACACTCATTTGTGGTGTCTACAAAGCCTTGTAGGTATGGGAAGCTGTGATCTTGGTTTAGGTGTAAGAGGGTCCAAATTCCAATGAATTGGTAGGATCCATGTCTAAAGGCATGCCTTCATGGATGCACTTGTATAAATTTGCAACAAAGACCAAGATGCATGTGGGTGCCTGCTCTAAATCTTCTGTTTCTTTTACGAATTACATCCATACGATGGCCAATATTTCCTGATAACAGGAGCCTGGGATCTTATAAAATATTAGTTTCTTTCCAGTGTTACTTCCCAACATCCCCTTTGGTCTACCTTGTACTCTACACCAGTAACATCCTCACCCTTGAATGCTTTTTTGAGTAATGCCCAACATTGAGACTGTTCTTTCTAATCCCATTCCTTTGATGAGGTCCTAATTATTTTTCAAGAGACAATTCACATGTTCTTTCACTTAATAAAACTTTTCTGACTATCCAAACCAGCACTGTGTCCACACTTGAATCATTATAAACATCACACTGTGACAGGCTACCTACATATCTATGTCCTGTTTATCAAGAACTGTGAACTGATGCCTGAGACAGTGGCTCTTCATCCCTGTTTCCCTAGCACATCTCTCTGTGTCTCAAACACAAGAGCCTCTGAGTAAGCGCAAGCACAAGGGCATAGGGTGTAGTAGGACACAGCAGGTGCCCCAGACCCAGAGGGCTGAGAAGGTGGTCAGAAAAAGTGATGAACCAACTGAGTGTTGAAGGACAATGAGGACAGAGCCAGGTCACCAGGGGAAATGATCTCTCCAGGAAAGGAAACAGTAGGTGCAAAGGCCAAGGGGTAAGAGCGAGTCTGGCCTTTCAAGGAAAACCTGGGGATCACAGA